TACAGTCCAGACCCGGCGCCAGTGGCGGCTCCAGAGTATTTGTGTTGGGTAATCTATGGTAGGGCTAACCCATACAGTGGTGGGGCTCAAGTCAGTATTTGCAATGTAATTACATACACGCTATATCGCCCCCCTTGACAGTGAAACGCCACGCGTGAGGTTTAGATTATTTCCCTGTCTCAATCCAAATTGAACTGTATGAAATAAAAAGGCACATTTGTCTTGTAGTAAATACAAAGGGCGAGCTGGAGCCAATCCTGCAATTTCCCCACAGGTGAAAGAGTTGACATGCTGAAAACCCAACCCCTACAGGGGGGTCTGGGGGGATTATCCCCCAGGAGATTTTTTGAAATACTAACATAAAATACACATTCTGGTACTCTCTTGAGAAGAAAAATAAATAAATCTGTTACTACATATTTAAAAAAATGAATGCCATTTTTGTTTTTTGTTACTTTGTTCTTAAAGCTGAACCTGCTGCTCCTCAGAGAGAAAGGGGAAGAGGCTGTGTGAATTACATTGTGGATAAGGGTGGATAGCCCCCATTGTTCTGTGTGTCAAAATGAAAGACAGCCCACACACCTATCAATCATCAAACCGTGGGGTCTTATTTCACGTAATGTTGTATCGATGTATATAGAGATGTACTACCGCTAAAGTATTCTCCGTCGGGACTTCCTGCACGCCGTTATCGTGATTCTGATTGGCCAGAAGACATTATCAAAGATGTTTTATTGGGAAGAAGATCACTACGTGACAAAAGTTTTCAAAACCGTTTCTAGTCTTCGGTATTTCCAGACAAGTGGCTACTGAAATCAATCTTACTAACTGCTGTCTGTGCAATTTACTCCGCGCGAGATGACGGACTTTATTTAGCTTACTTTAACATCATTTTTCATGGTGGGGCTAAGGTGGGGCTAAGCCATTTCTTGGTATGGCTGTAGCCTACCCCAGCCATACCCTGGCGCCGCCACTGCCCGGCGCCCTGGGAGGGCCAGGGAGGACCAGGCCCTCCCATTTGACATTCCTGCCCTCCCCCAATAAACACGTTTTTTATTATTTATAACAATTAAAAAAATATATATTTTAATTTTTTTAATTATAAATAAACTGTGAACTTTAATGCTATGATGTATGTGATGTCAGATACTGTAGTAATATAAGAGTAATAAATGAAAAACAGGTATGAAATACTATATGACAGTAAAACAAGAATAAAGTTTAAAAGGGGAGTGATTAGTAAAATATCCATAAAGAAAAAGTAAATCTGTTTACAGTTCTGTTTCATATGGAGGTTGAGATCTGTATCCATAGATCTCTTCATGTTGCTCTCAAAGTGCACCAGATTGATGCTTTTAACTTCAATATTAAAATAAAAATCTTCCCGGGGGAGCATGCCCCCTGACCCCCCTAGAGGAGGTGAGGACCCCCCTAGAAGAGGTCCACTCCCCACTTGTAAAAATAGCACTTTACCCCTGCTTACACCTATATGCCGTGAGCTGATTATCGAGCCTTCATTGTAACAGTCGCAGGTACACTGTGTATGTGCATGGGGGTTGTTGCAGTAGAACATTCCACTGTAGCGCCCGGTACATTAATGGGAAACCCTACATGTTTGAGCACCCTCTATGAAACGTCAAGCTACCCCACAGCACCCCCAAGAGAAAATCTCGGGTCGCGGCACATGACGGTTTTGTGTGCCCTCCCATGAAAACCATATGCCCTCTCTGTAGATTTGTTCTGGCGCCGGGTCTGGTACAGTCACTTATTAGAAACCCCTGCTTTTATGCCACTTTTGGACGTTTACCAGTTGGGTATTACTATTTACTGACACATTTGATGTTGTACAACAAAGCGTGAAAATCTCTTATGCTTAACCACAGGTCGTATTTCAGGCATCTAACCACAAACACGAATTGTTGACTTCGAGACCAGGGAACAAAAGCGATAAAAAGCAAACTTATTTCTGGGTTTTAAGACTCATTCCTGCACCACTCTATTGTATGTACAGTCTACATAAACATAAACATCCACAACACTGGAGGTCCCATGACACTCATAATCTAACCTGTCTCCCTCTCTCTCATACAGGTTTCGGACAACCCGCTGGATTCCCAGAGCAACGGCTTGTACCGCTCCCAGCTGTCCCTCAGACACACCGAGTACATGATGAGGTCCAGCGACTCAGGGGCCTTTTCTATTGAACATTACAGCTGATGGACAGGAGCCGTTTTGGCTTTCTATAAAAATGTTACCTCCTCCTCTTTACATAAAAGAGTAAATGTCAAAATAAATTCAGGGGAACCTTGAACTGTTGTTATTTTAATGTTCAATTCTTCAAACAGATTCGAACTATACAGTCAAATAAATTAAATTAAAAAGCTTTGCATGTTTCATGCTCTCTTTGCTTTTGTTGCATCTTACATTGAATGCATCATGAAGGCCTTTGTAACATGAAAACAGGAATAAACAACACAGCTGGCACGAGTTGTTTCACTTGCTTGTCCTTCTTTCAAATATATGTTGTGGTTTATATTCTAATAAATGTGCTCTGCTTCGTAAAGGAGCTTGAGTGTGGTTTGATGAAAGCACCATTGATGTCTTCGAGGTAAACAAGTTGGATGAAGCCACAGCAGGGATGGAGAGCATGCCATTCTTAATGTGTGTGTACGGTGGCCGACCTGCACATGTGCACTTACACTCTGAGAAAAAGCGTTTTGTATTTGCATTGTTTTTTTTATGCAGCACTTTCAGTAAAGGCTGTGCATGTTTTCACAAGTTGGATAATATGTGTACAGCTTGTGTGTGTGTGTGTGTGTGTGTGTGTGTGTGTGTGTGAGCATGCTTTGCATATCCAAACAGGTGTTTTGAACCTAATGCTCGGGTTGGTGTTGGGTGGATGAATGATAAGAATGACATCATGGGAGAAAAGACTTGCACTACTCGGTACCAGTGGAGTGGAGGTCCCCCTCTACAGATCCTGAGACACTGAGTTGTGTTTGTGGGATGGAGTGTAGTGGGGGGGAGGAAGCGCTGGATGTAGTAGAGTTGGTTCAGACCCTGACTAAAACACCTTTACTCTGGTAGAACAGGGATAGAGTGTTGTATGTTGTTATTTTTTTCATAGAGGGCTACATAAATAACATTTCATATAATTCGGAAGAAAATAATAATACATGGAAATAAAATGTGCAACGATGCGATGTAGAGGAGGAGATGTACACTATGAGGAGGAATAGGTGAATGGAGGACGTACAGGAGACCCTCATAACGAGATGAAGTGGTAATGTGAAGAGAAGGAATGCTAACTCAATAAAGATAGTTACACCACGTGATGTCTTCTCATGTTCCTGATGGAGCCTGTGTGAGCGTGACTTCACTCCAATATATCATCAGGCTGCTATAATGCACTGAAAGAAAGGGGGGTTCAATTACATTTAAGAGAGATTATATTTAACCCCTTCTGATCAAATTTGATTGATGGTGACCTCAAAGCCTCAAGCAGCAGCCGCGTGGGGTTATGTCTTTCTTTTCACCATGTGGTCACAGGGGAGACTTTGTTGAATCTGGTGTCTTTAAAGGATCTCCAAACAGCCATTATACTAGAAAGAGCATTGCATAAAGCGACAGGTGAAACACGAGTTGTCACTACAAACACAAAACGAAGTTCAATCATCACCAGGATTGGGTAGCAATGGATTACATGTAATGGGATAACGTAGTCAGGATACAAAAAAAGGTAACTGTGTTCCCTAACAATAACTAAGACATAATCAGATTGTTGTTACAGAAAGCACACATAGTGTTACAACAGTTCGACCTCCATCTTTTGCTGAACCTAAAACATATCACTTTTCCAAATGCCAGAACACTCTTCTGATGGGAGCCAGAGCAAATGTCATTTGTATGAGTTGTTACCTTGTACCAACTAGTACAATAAGGTATGGACTAAGGCTGAACGATTAATCGATTTTATATCGAAATCGCGATTTGAAATGATGCAATTATCAAATCGCAAAGCCTGCGATTTAAAAAAACAAACATGTACCAGTCATTGTTAACCAATCAGAAGTGGCCCATGATAGAAGGTGATAGACAGATTGATCCAATCACCTGCCAAGTATTTTTGAAATACTTTTCCAAATGGCTTCCAATGGAGCTTTCCTAGATGGTTTGGTGAAACAAAGCATCTGAGTCAGGTTAGTAATGCTCCATCACATGTTTCTATTACAGGGTGAATCTTAAACTGAAGCTTGACTTTAAAGCAACCCAACGGAAGTTTCATGTAAGTTTAGTTCTTTCACTCGTAGCTCGGGCTGCGGGGGTGCTAGAGACGGGAGCACGTTGATACGACCTTGCTAGCCGGAGATATGGCCGCATTTTACAATAAACTTCCGTTGGGTCGCTTAAAAACAAATATCGCAAATCGAATCGCAATATCTGTCAGAAAGATCGCAATTAGATTATTTCCCCAAATCGTGCAGCCCTAGTATGGACTAAGGCTCATGGTAAAGTATACTTACAAAACAAATTTTTTTAAAAGTCGTCTTGATGTAGCACCTTGGACACGTCACTACAACACTGTCAGATTTACTGTGAACACGTATGTTTATCTACTGTTTACAACTGTGCTGAGCAGTTACCATTTACCATGTGTACATGTGTCATTTAATTCTACGCACAGTAGGATGACATGTTGTCTGTTTCCACTGGGGATATTAAATGGTGGTGTCATTAAACCTGGGAATTTCTGAGAACAAGATAAAACACGAGCACACAACTTTTGAACCCATTTAACAATTAAAGTATAAATAATATCTGGTAATATGGTATATCATAGTCAGCTGGATATTTTAATTTCTTTCACCAACCTCCAGGCAGCTACAGATTATTTCATAAATAAATGAACACGATATAATGTATTTGATGTTGTATACATTGGCACATTTCTATGTGTTATTGCATTGATGTATTTCAAATCAATCCACACTTTACCTGAATGAAGGGCGAATAGTGAAACAATTATTTTATTATAAGCAAAGAAACAAAACATCTGAAAAGTTTTGTTGCAACATCACTTCTTGAGAATGAAGAAATAGCAATATGTCTCTGTATGTGTGCATAGCCGCGGGAAGTAGGGGTCTGGAGAATCAGATTGACCGGTCGTCAAGGGCCACCGTGTTCCTGCAGCAAGGCTATCCCCCCCCCCCCCCATTAACAGTTCACTAGCACCATGGCCGCCCCTCCCTACACGCAGATCACGCAGACTGCGTGGGGCCTCAACTAAGCCGTAAATGCGGCGCAATTAGTGTAGGCACGGCACAGTTTCGCCGTTGACAATTCACGAGCACCCTCTAAGTAAAATGACTTCCCGCGGCTATGGATGTGTGAATAAAATAACACTAGCATTACTCAGGGATCATCCCAGGCCCGCAGCCTGTGACAGACTGCTGGTGTGTCCTCAGGTTGCAGATCCAGGCGAACCTCTTCCCACACAGCTGGCAGCTGAAGGGTTTCTCCCCGGTGTGAACTCTCTGGTGCTTCTTCAGGTTCCCGGCCTCGGAGAAGAGTTTCCCGCAGGTGTCGCAGCGGTACGGTTTCTCCCCTGTGTGGACTCTCTCGTGGGCCTCCAGATTGGATAGGCCGGTGAACGACTTCCCGCAGGCTCTGCATACGTAGCCCTTCTTGCGGTGGTCACTGGGCACCATACCAGGAGCCTGGCTTATATCGTGGTGAGCCAGGAGGCTGACTCCATGCTCTGCAGCACCGGGGACCTCGCTTCTGCCCAACAACGTCCTGATGTATGGAGCCATTGTGGAGCTCATAGTCCTACTGGTGGAGCTGATACAGGAGATCTTTGTGTTCTCCCCACAGTGAGTGTTACTGACAGCAGCTGAGGTCTGTGCAGAGGGCAGGCTGTGCTGCTGCTGAGGGGCCCTGCTGCTGTCACCATGCTGCTGCAGCTCACACTGGGTTCCTCTTATCAGGACCGCTTTCCTGCTCCACGGAGGCTGGGACAACGGAGTCTTCATCCTCAGGGGTGTGGATGAAGAAGTCTCTGCTGACGGGCCTGGGAGCAGAAACAACAAGGAGTCAGACACATTCATTTGCTATTTTCATCTAAATTACTGAAACATGACAAAAGATGTCTCTGTGCACAGGATCTACTTCCTCAGTGAAGAATATGGTTATGGTTTTGTCCATGTGAAAATGTGTAAAATAGGAATCCTCATGGCAACCAAGTATTCACCTAGTGCGTCTCACAGAACACATACAGTCCACTATGATTTCCTCAAATGTATACATCCATAAATATTTCAATGGATGTATGTGATTCACAGCAGAAAATGCCATTTCTTCTTTTTGCCACATGCAAAGTGACCCAGGGTTGAAGGAATTCTTTGTAGTGGCCAAACAATGGTACTACAATTTCTGGGTCATGTGACGTCAATGGGTCCAAAAATACCTTTTCCCATTGACCAGAACAAACACTTGAATAGCCCCTATTTAAATCATTATGTCCTACAATGTGTGAAGTACATGAAAAGCTGTATCCAGAGTTATTTTTCCTCTTCATTCATTTGACTGAACTGAGAGCAGACAGGATGAAGCAGATTGGAGGCAGGGCTAAAGGAAAAACGGGATGTGTGGGAGAGTATCCCTCTGGAGGGAACAGGCCAATAGCCTCAGACCATTTACATGCACAAAAACCTCTATAAAAACTCTAAGAAAGGGACAATTCTGAAAAGCATGATAGGGTCTCTTTCACATTACAGCATGTAAACATGTTCTAGTTTAAAAATTGAAAAAACAAATAAACCTGAAAAGTTGTCTGTAAAGATTAAAGCAGTCTCACCATGTGACACAGACGGCTGGATGTGATTGGAGGAGGAACTCTGCCACACACCCATACTCGCTGCTGAGGGGGCGGAGCCTGGTGCTGCCACAGGTGGAGGCTGTGTTTCACTCTCTACTATGATAACTGCATCCTGGTCACACTCTGCTGAGTCATCAGCAGGGAGAGGAAATGAAGGGCCCCTGCTGGCTGAGTCACTGTCGGGGGCCCAGCGGGTGAAGAAGGTCTCCAGCTCAAACAGAGAGTACTCAGAGCTGAGGGGGGTGCTGGTGCTGGACCTCTGCTGTTGTTGTGCTCTGGAGGTAGCTGCTGAGATGGTGTCTGGTACCCTCAGCTGGACCGCCGCCACACTGCAGGGGTCCACCGATGACTGAGGGGCTGCAGACTGGGGAGGAGGGAGAGAGGTGTGTTAGGACTTACATCGTACTAAGGTACAGGACTGGATGGAGATCCAAACACTTAGTTGGACATTTTAGGAAATATGCTTCTTTACTTTCCTGTTGAAATTTAGAAGAGAAAACAGATACAAAAACCACTGTCTGTGCATTAAGTATGGTGCTGGAGGTTCAAATAACTACCGGGATGGTTTTCTACAAGAAGAAACTGGAAGAGCTACTCAAAATAAGGTGTTGGAGGTTCCTCTATATCCTAGTAATCCAGGGAGAAACTGTCAGGGGACCCAAATACACAAGTGGAGAGACCATAGCCTTAATGTAGCATTACCGTGGCTATTCAGCTGTTTAGATTAAAAGAGTAGTCTCAGAGGGGTGACATATTGTTGAGGTGCAGTAGTGTTACTAGGTCTGGACAACATGAGGCGATTAGCTTAGCATAAAAGCTGGATGCAGGGGGGAGCATCGAGCCTCTTTTACAAAACAAAGACTAATACTGATACTTGTATTAATTCAGTTCTTCACCCTCTTACTATTTCAATTTCAGTTTGGAAAAACCCACATGAACACATGCACAAACAGGACCTGTACCCATGCATTACAAAGAGGTGTCAGAGCGTGGGGGGGGGCCATGCTCAAGCCCCAACAGTGTGTATTTGGACCAATCGTACTTGACGCGGCGACCCTTCTGTTCCCAAGCCAAGTCCCTACAGACTGAGCTACTGTCCCCCCCCACAACAAATATACCTACAAAAACTTGCAGATTAAACTAAAGAGCAAGTATTTTTGTTTAATGGCAACACACAGTATGAAGTGTTAAAATGACAAGTTGTGTTGTTGGCAGTTTCATGCTAAACTTAAGTCTTCCGAGGTATATAATATAGAGATAAGCAACTGGATTTATTTGATCATACTCTATTGCGTTTTATTTGTGTGTAGCGTGAAATGATTTTGTATTCACTATGTATTGCATAATGACAAATCAATTGAATTTGTAATTATAAAATGCTGCTTTAGATGTGTGTGACAGAATCCGACTAGCTGAACTAAGTCTAACCCCCCCTTCAACTCTTGGGCTCATCACTGGTCACTTTAGGGTTATATATAAATAATATACTGTTTTGGAAAACTGTTAACTCTGTTATTGTTGTAGCATGTGCTTTAGACATTTGATCTAATCCAACTTTACATGGAGGCAAATATAGTTTTACATATGGATAATAAGAATATTATAATATTGTGTCACAATTTTGTAATGTATGATTAAAAAAAAACAAAATACGCATCTTGAGTTTTTCTTAAGTTTTAATGATTTACATTGCAAATGGTCAACATTAGGCAGCATTGAACATAATTGTGACACAATAAAAAGTGAGTGTTACATTTACGGCCCGTCCACACAGCGGCGTGCGTTGAAGCTTGCACCATTTTTTGGAATATGAGGAAATGACCTGCGGTGTGTCTCTCCCAGCATACACGCGGTTTGATTGGCTGCATGAACGGGATTTGATTGGCTGACGCTTCCACCGAAGCTTCAAAAGTTGAACATTGCTCAACTTTTGCAGCCTGACGCCAGCAAAGCTCCGCTCTGCTTCCCACAATGCAGTTCGGTGAAAAGTGAGGCAAAGTGACGTCACCCCATTCAAAGTGAATGGGCAGAAGCGTTGGAAGATTTTTTTAACTCTGCTGTGTGGACGTACCGTTACAGTACATGTTTATGCTAAGATGGCTTCGGTTTACATCAAAATCACATTTTACACATAAAAAAATATGTTCATTTTTGTAGATAAAGAGAGCTGCTGTATTATTAGGAAAAACTGAAGGCATTTAAAAAATAATTACATGATCAAATATAAATATAAAAATTAATAATTATAATATAACAATGAAAATGCACACAGGATAACTGACTGAATTAAAAACACACACACACACACACACACACACACACACACACACACACACACACACACACACACACACACACACACACACACACACACACACACACACACACACACACACACACACACACACACACACACACACACACACACACACACACACACACACCCAAAAAAATCAAACCTATTGTCTGTAAATTCTGAAATGATAGACCACGTTGTTAATGCGCCAGAAAAGTAGTGTCTTTATTTCTAATTTCCCATGTTTATAAAATAACTCACTATCATAAAAATATACAGGGTGATTTTCCCCCACCTTACTGCTCTGAGATATCTTTCAAATACCGTTTTAACCTCTAGTTACTGTCAATCGCTTTTACGTTGGCGGGGTTTTTTGTATTGCTGTTGAGCATATCAATACAACCGTAACTGTTTTACATTAAAAGCCTTCTTACAGCTGCCCAAGCACTGAAGTCAATGAAGTGTGTTTGCTGCACCGCCTGATAGGTGTGAATGGTGCTGCGGAAATAAATACTATGCTAACATTTACACGTGAGCCATTAAAGTAGACTACCGACAATTTCACTCGTCCATCGTTTTTTCAATGAATCCGTCTAAAAGGGACATCAAATACATACTGCATGTAGTGTTATTTGTCAATAGTTCTGAAGTTGAAACGATGTTTGTTTTTTACTTGTTATTTAGGGGATTTGGAGACACAAAAGCACAGCGTGTTTAGTTTCATCACTGAGATGTCCCTGACTGCGTGCCTACGTCTGTGGGTGGTGTCTCTTTTGGTGTTTTTTCAGGTTGCTGGGGTCCGAGAACCTCTCGGGGCAGAGGGGGCACTGGTACGGTCTCTCCCCAGTGTGGATGTTCCGGTGGATCTTCAGGTTCCAGAACTGGGAGAACTTTTTGCCGCAGACGGTGCAGCCGTACGGTCTCTCTCCTGTGTGAGTCCTGAGGTGGGACTCTAAATTTGCCGGGGAGCTGAACCCTTTACCGCAGAACCTACAGATGCACAGCCTCTTCCTCTGGGATTTCTGCTGCATCTCAGCACTTAAACTGCCCTGACCCCGGCTTTGCCCTGGACCCAGGAAGTGCTGGGGCTCCTGGATCTGACCTGACACGTGACTGGGGCCGGGATCCTCCGACAGATCGATAACAGGGGACTGCTGGTGAAAGGAACCAGAGGTGTGGAAGCTGCTAGAGCTTTCAAGAGCCAACCCCCTTCCTTCTGAATGCTCAGCATCCATTGTGCTGGGCGGGAATGAGAGGGGGGCGCAGTGAGAAGATGGCCCCGGGAGGCTGTCGTCATGACAATAACTACCCCCCCCATTATTCCACAGCGAAGAATGCCCATAGCTGACCTCTGAGAAGCCCGGCCCTGACTCCTGCAGGTCGGACAGCTGATTGGTGGTTTGTGTGATGTCATCAAACGGCTGAACAGCTCTGTAGTCGTCGGTGCTCGACTCCACCAACCCTGCAGACACACAGAGAAATTCTCTGTCAGACACACTGGATGTACTGGAAACCATTATATTTAGAAATGCAGGCTTTTCATAAAACTGCATACAACTGGAAGGACAGCTGCTGCTAAAGAACAATTAAAAAAAGTGCAGAGAAAAACAGTTTGTTAATGTTTTGATCTGTTACCAGGAAATGGGAAAGATGCATTTGGCCCAGGTACATCCTTTAGTGTGAGGGCATGAACAAACATGATTCATTGTAATTAGGGCTGTCAGTCGATTAAAATATTTAATCGCGATTAATCGCATGATTGTCCATAGTTAATCGCGATTAATCGCAAATTAATCGCACATTTTTTATCTGTTCTAAATGTACCTTAGAGGGATATCTTTCAAGTTTTTAATACTCTTATCAACATATGAGTGGACAAATATGCTTTATATGTTTGTTTATTATCATTTGAACAATGACAAATATTCTCATGAATATTAAACACAACAACCTCTGAACATTACAAATATTCGCCTCAATTCAACCTGGAACCTCTCTCATACAATAATACTGTGTGTGTGTGTGTGTGTGTGTGTGTGTGTGTGTGTGTGTGTGTGTGTGTGTGTGTGTGTGTGTGTGTGTGTGTGTGTGTGTGTGTGTGTGTGTGTGTGGAGACACTGTGATGGATCGTTGGAGCTATGTGCAGCTCAAGGCATATATACTCGAACAGGTGCTGCCTGGACGCTGCAATCATGTTGCGCGTACTATCCGTGCTGAGTGTGCTGACTTCTCGTACAATGTCCCACTGTCTGGCTACCTGCATAAAGTCAAGTGCTCGGCGCAGTTGTCGGCGAAATGTCATTGAAACAGCTCCTTATATCCGTTAGCGCAGCTAGCTAGCACCAGATGCTAACAACAACACGTAAGGTGTGCCTCGCTCGCGCGAGTCGCGCCACACATACACACTCCCTCCCGGTCCTCCCGATGGCCAGTCCGGGCCTGCCGGTGAGCGTGGAAGTGGGCACAAGCGGGCGGCAGGAGCGGGGCTGTCAGCATCAGCTTGTCGATGGTATTTTACACTCGATGCGCTCTGAAACTACGGCGGCCAAGGACAAAAAATACACATGCGTTAATCGCGTTAAAATAATTAGTGGCGTTAATTTTTTTTTGCGTTAACGCGTTATTAATGCGTTAACTTGACAGCCCTAATTGTAATATTATAAGTAATATGCACATGTCAGTTCCAGTTGCTTTTCCAATGTTTAATTGGCTTTTAAGCCGCCTTTAGCTTAGCGGTGGTGACGTGAAGTCATGTGACCGTGATGTAGTTGGATTTTAGCCTTACGTTGGCTATTTCATTTTGGTGATTGCAGTTACGCTTCAAAAGTCATACAGTGGTATTCATATGTGGAGATTATCATGCTGAACAAACGGGTAAGTATAACAAATGTTTGTTTGCAATAGATATTTTCGATAATATTCCAAAATCCAATGTAAAAATCCCATTGCTTTCTTGTCAAGGGAGCCCTTGAAATGCTAACTTCCGCGTTGGGCTACAAAAATACGTCATCGCTGCCCCACTCTTTACCGGCGTATATACTTTGTATTGTAAGGTTGGTTGGTGACCTCATAGTGTGGTAACTTCTTCAATTGAAAGGTGGGGGTGCACACTCACCCTCCTGTATGCTGAGGCCCGTCTGGCTCCCTGGCTCCCCCTCTTCTACCTTCACCAGCACCACATCTGGCTCCACCTCCTCCTGCACACACAGAGAGGAACTATCAGATGTTTCTGCACCGTAGACACACAGCACCATAGCACATGATACAGAAATATGAGCGGTGTAATAATTCTCAGTGGATTTGTCAGCAGCAATATAATTGCAAACATTCTGCAAACCCAATACAGGTATTTGAAGACCATTTCAACAGTGACCTAGAATTTCTCAAATGTATATTTACATAAACAGTACTACTGGGGTCCTCAAATCTACATTTAAATCAATCAGTTATTCAAATTAACCGTACTATAGTGTTAACCTTTTATACATTCCAGTTGAATTAATTTAAATTAATGTATTAACATGTATTCTAATTAAGTCTAAAATATATTTTATGATGGATGGATAGATTTTTTTTCTCATTTAAACACTTCCTGATTCAAAACGAAATCAGTGCTAATGCGGGCATTGTGGCAAATTATTGCTTAATTTAGTTTTTGAACTTTTGGTATTCACAATCTGATGATAATCTTGATCTGTACACAAATCAATATCCCCCCCCCTCCTACAATAACAACCTACTTCATGCATATCCATTCAATATTGCTCCCTTTGCACTATTTGTCATTTCAACTTTTTGTGTGTGTGTGTGTGTGTGTGTGTGCACGCGCGCCCATTGAGAGCAATTTAAAGCCAGCGTTCAGGAATCAGGAACAGGAATCTAAACTCATCTGAGATTCAAAGTCATAAAAAAAAGACCATGTAAAAAAAAAGTCTGAACAGTGGTTTAAGAAACATATTTTATTCCATAAATTACATGTTTTATAAAATGGGAAATATTTCAACTTTAAAATACATGAAATCAGTTATATTTGTAATGACAAAGCTTTGATCATTTACTGGGAGTATATGGATACCATGTTTAGGGATGGGTATCGTTTGAAATGTATCGATTCCGATTCCGCTTATCAATTCCCCGTTTCGATTCCAAAATTGTAAAAGAAAGAGGTCAAACGTTTAGATAACAAAAATATCTTTATTCTTTTAAGCTTTAACTGACATTTTTACAAATAAAAAATATACATGCAATAAAAATGTATTGCACAATAGCTGTGCTTTATTTTAACTGAGCTATGCCTGTGGCAAGCTATTAACAGGCATTACACTGTGCCTTGTCTTTTTCTGTTTTAGTGTAGTGGAGCCTCACTTTAGAGCGTTTACCGCGATCCATCTTTGGTGTTATGAAGTGACTGAGCTTGTGAACCGTCTACGGGAGGGCGGGGGGAGCCTCGCTGCGGGGCAACTGTGGACCTCTGTTGCCTGTCAGCGCAACTTACATGATGCCGTTTAAAAAAATTAAGGGCGGTGCCGGCCGTCAGCGTACCGAGCCGGCCGTCAACAGCCCGCTGACGACCGGCCGTTCTGTGATTCTCCAGAACACACAGATGGCCAGTCCGCCCTTACCCTGTATTCCACCGGGTCACAGCAGCGCAGATGGACCCCGTGGAATACAGGGTCTACCGCGTTTAGGAACCGTTAAGCAGAACCGAAATTGTGTATTTTGTATGGGTACCCGGCATTTTCTTATCGGTTCTCATCTGGAACAGAGTTTCGGTTCCCAACCCTAACCATGTTCCTCTGCAGTGAGTGAATACTGGCTTAGACTGAATTCCAACACAGGTACCCATTTATTTGATTCCCACTATATAACCAAAGGAAACACGTGTCACACAGATAACTGGAAAAGCCTCATTTTAAAATCTCCTGTAAACAATGGAATTGAAAACATTATTTTCCACCATGTTCAGTCAGTGCACCCCCACCTACTACTGTGTAATGCTTTTCCTATTTTATTTTTTATTTTTTATTTAGTGGTCGCACAAATTGTGAATAGGACCTTTTTCCATTTTTGGTAGCACCTTGAGGTTCAATCTTTCCATATACAGTCCCCCCAGTCCCAATAGGGTTAGGGAACCACAATGCAGTTCGGCAAAGCTTGACGTCACCTGATTCAAAGTGAATGGGAAGCATCTCCGTTGAAGCTCTCGACGGAACCGTGTGGACGTTACGTTAGACTCCTTTGTTTACTTTTTGTTTCAGAACACTCATGCTTTTATTGGCTGGAGCTCAAACACATCACACGTGATAGGCGAAGGGGCAGGACATCTTCCAGCAGTGAGCCAATAATAACAGAGCCGGCCAGCTAACCAATCAGAGCAGATTGGGCTCTGGTTTCAGACAGAGGGTGAAAAGAGGTGCTGCAGCACAGGCAGTATGAGAAAAATAAAGAGCTTTTTGAACATTAAAGCATGGAGACATGTCCCAGTAGAGACACTACATACTGATATACACCTGAACATCAGCAGGAGAGGACTCTTTAAAGTAGAGACACTACATACTGATATACACCTGAACATCAGCAGGAGAGGACTCTTTAAAGTAGAGACACTACATACTGATATACACCTGAACATCAGCAGGAGAGGACTCTTTAAAGTAGAGACACTACATACTGATATACACCTGAACATCAGCAGGAGAGGACTCTTTAAAGTAGAGACACTACATACTGATATACACCTGAACATCAGCAGGAGAGGACTCTTTAAAGTAGAGACACTACATACTGATATACACCTGAACATCAGCAGGAGAGGACTCTTTAAAGTAGAGACACTACATACTGATATACACCTGAACATCAGCAGGAGAGGACTCTTTAAAGTAGAGACACTACACACTGATATACACCTGAACATCAGCAGGAGAGGACTCTTTAAAGTAGAGACACTACATACTGATATACACCTGAACATCAGCAGGAGAGGACTCTTTAAAGTAGAGACACTACACACTGATATACACCTGAACATCAGCAGGAGAGGACTCTTTAAAGTAGAGACACTACACACTGATATACACCTGAACATCAGCAGGAGAGGACTCTTTAAAGTAGAGACACTACATACTGATATACACCTGAACATCAGCAGGAGAGGACTCTTTAAAGTAGAGACACTACATACTGATATACACCTGAACATCAGCAGGAGAGGACTCTTTAAAGTAGAGACACTACACACTGATATACACCTGAACATCAGCAGGAGAGGACTCTTTAAAGTAGAGACACTACACACTGATATACACCTGAACATCAGCAGGAGAGGACTCTTTAAAGTAGAGACACTACATACTGATATACACCTGAACATCAGCAGGAGAGGACTCTTTAAAGTAGAGACACTACATACTGATATACACCTGAACATCAGCAGGAGAGGACTCTTTAAAGTAGAGACACTACATACTGATATACACCTGAACATCAGCAGGAGAGGACTCTTTAAAGTAGAGACACTACATACTGATATACACCTGAACATCAGCAGGAGAGGACTCTTTAAAGTAGAGACACTACATACTGATATACACCTGAACATCAGCAGGAGAGGACTCTTTAAAGTAGAGACACTACATACTGATATACACCTGAACATCAGCAGGAGAGGACTCTTTAAAGTAGAGACACTACATACTGATATACACCTGAACATCAGCAGGAGAGGACTCTTTAAAGTAGAGACACTACATACTGATATACACCTGAACATCAGCATAACAGGGCCCCTTTAACTCAACATAGATTTAAAGAAATGGCAACCTTGAACAATCATGTACACTCTAAAGTACAATTGACTATGAGCCGACATTTGTCCGTTTGGTTGCAGATGAAAGGATTCCGAGTGTCGCTTTTTAGATGCTGTCACACAAGAGAATCCTGCCTACACTGAGGTAGGTCATCTCCTGGACCTCTGTAAGTCTATGAGAAAAAGTATCTTTACAGCAATGTGGTGATATTCTTAAGGTAATCATATCCCATATGCTAATCCTAACCTAAACAGAACTCATTTTACAACAAATGTCAAAGCCTGATCTTATTAATCTGAGCCAAAGAGCTCCATGTTTGTCCCAAAACTATTTCACACTGATGCACTGTGGGAAGCAGGTTGGAGTCCAGCACAGAGCGTGTTACTGAGAGAGCTGTGGAAGACTATGTGGCAACCCCGTCGATTCAGCATTTCTACATAACTCATGTACGTGTGTTACCTTTCTGTGTGTGTGTAATGTGTTTACATTACAGAAAAAATAACAATGTAATAGTTATTAAACTACTACATTGTTATTTTTTTCCCAGAGAGTATTTTAATAAAGTGCTTAGCAAATTAGTAAACTTTATTAGTAATTAGTAAGGTGTTTTTACATCAATCAGAGTATTGAGAAACCCATTAACAAAATGTTGCTTTGTGTCTGAATATGAAATGTGTTTATACCAAAAGCCTTCTGCTTTAAGATACTTATGTGAAACTGGACCAAAGACTAGGCAGTCTCCACAGCAGCAGAAGGGATGCTAGTGTTTGCAGCAACATCATGTATGAATGGTAATACTACTTACTATACTTATACTGATAATACTTTAGGCTACAGATTAGTAAAAATGTGTCCTTAATGTTCTGTCGGAGACTTTCACAATTGTAAAGAGAACATTTTAAAAAGACAAAGTCGTCATAACCAAATTTAAATTCTAAAGTATAAAAGCTTGACCTCAGCATTTACTGTAATGCCTCTTGTTTCTCTCTTTGAAAACAATATCACATTAAAAAAAATGTTTCATGAAATGTTTCACATCAACATATCAGAGCAACTCAAGAGTGTTTTCTGGATGATAACATCTTTCAGTATCCTCCGGTTGGTTCACAGTCTAGGCCTGCTCCCAGCTCTCCTTCAGCAGAGATTTCAGGGTGGCTCTTCTGGTGTGTTTTCAGGTTCCTTATCCAGGCGAATCCCCTGCCACAGATCTCGCATCTGTACGGTTTCTCTCCGGTGTGAACTTTCTGGTGTTTCCTCAGGTTCCCGGCCTCGGAGAACATCTTCCCGCAGGTGGAGCAGCTGAACGGTCTCTCCCCGGTGTGCACCCGCTGGTGGATCTCCACCTTCTTGGGACGGTTAAAGGCCTTGCCGCAGTAGCTGCAGACAAACAGTCTCTCCTTGGTGGCGGGGCGTCGCTGCGCTGACCCGCCACCACTGATGGGCTGGGAGGGGGGGGCACCGGGGCCGTAACGCATCCAGCCGTTCATACTGGCAGAGGTTGATGGGTAATCAGCCGCTGCCATCGAGTACGAGCAAGACGCCTTCCTCCCTTCCACTTCGTCGAAAAACTCCTCCACCAACAGGTTCGCACCATTATCATTGTCACACAACACGTCAAAATGTGAGTCCCTGCTGGCGTCATCAACATACTGCTGTGGGGAGTCTCTGCCCTCAACACTGAGTTCACATGTAAGGGGAGGAGAGGAGTCACTGACCTCCACTCCTCGGCTGCTGCCGCCCGGGGGTCTCCTGCTGCTCTGGATCTGGGCCCGGGTCTGACTGGAAGTGGACTGAGTCTCCTGTCCTCCAGCTCCATCCTCCACCACGCCTTCAGAGACCGGGGGAACAAGACATGGAAAATAAACATTTAGTGCTTTACTCTCTTTAACTCCTGTTCTGAAGTCCTTACACTGGCTTCCTGTGTGTCAAAGAATAGATTTCAAAATACTGCTGCTGGTTTATAAAGCTTTGAATGGTTTAGGCCCAGAATACATTTCTGACCTCCTGCTAAATTATGAACCATCCAGATCTCTCAGGTCTTCTGGGACTGGTCAGCTTTCTGTCCCCAGAGTCAGAACTAAACATGGAGAAGTTCAGTTATTATGCTCCAAATATCTGGAACAAACTCCCAGAAACCTGCAGGTCCGCTGCAACTCTGACTACTTTTAAATCCAGGCTGAAGACTTTTCTTTTTGCTGCTGCTTTTAATTGAACAATTCATATCTTAAACTGCACTGTAACTTTTATCCATGTACTATTTATGTTTATCTTTGCTTTTTAATGTCTGTTTTTAAATGCCATATTTCTTAATGCTCTAAATGTTTTTCATTGTTTTAAAGCACTTTGAATTGCCTTGAGCGACATTTCGCCGACAACTTCGCAGAGCACTTGACTTTATGCAGGTAGCCAGACAGTGTACGAAAAGTCAGCACACTCAGTGCGCGCAACATGATTGCAGTGTCCAGGCGCGCGCGCGCGCGCACGCGCGCGCGCGCGCGCACGCGCAACATGATTGCAGTGTCCAGGCGCGCGCACACTGCAACATGATTGCAGTGTGCGCACGCGCACGCGCACGCGCGCGCGCACGCACGCGCGCGCACACTGCAACATGATTGCAGTGTGCGCACGCGCACGCGCGCGCGCACGCACGCGCGCGCACACTGCAACATGATTGCAGTGTGCGCACGCGCACGCGCACGCGCGCGCGCACACTGCAACATGATTGCAGTGTGCGCACGCGCACGCGCACACTGCAACATGATTGCAGTGTGCGCACGCGCACGCGCACGCGCGCGCACGCGCGCGCACACTGCAACATGATTGCAGTGTCCAGGCGCGCGCGTGCGCGCGCACGCGCACGCACACTGCAACATGATTGCAGTGTCCAGGCGCGCGCGTGCGCGCGCACACACTGCAACATGATTGCAGTGTCCAGGCGCGCGCGTGCGCGCGCACAGCAACATGATTGCAGTGTCCAGGCGCGCGCGCGTGCGCACAGCAACATGATTGCAGTGTCCAGGCGCGCGCGCGTGCGCACAGCAACATGATTGCAGTGTCCAGGCGCGCGCGCGCGCACAGCAACATGATTGCAGTGTCCAGGCGCGCGCGCGTGCGCACAGCAACATGATTGCAGTGTCCAGGCGCGCGCGCGTGCGCACAGCAACATGATTGCAGTGTCCAGGCGCGCGCGCGCGCGCGCACAGCAACATGATTGCAGTGTCCAGGCGCGCGCGCGCGCACAGCAACATGATTGCAGTGTCCAGGCGCGCGCGTGCGCGCGCACAGCAACATGATTGCAGTGTCCAGGCGCGCGCGCGTGCGCACAGCAACATGATTGCAGTGTCCAGGCGCGCGCACAGCAACATGATTGCAGTGTCCAGGCGCGCGCGCGTGCGCGCGCAGCAACATGATTGCAGTGTCCAGGGCGCGCGCGAGCCGTGCGCACAGCAAACATGATCTTGAGTGTCCAGGCGGCGCGTCGCGCGCAACAGCAACATGATTGCAGTGTGCAGGCGGCGCAGCGCCAAGCAACATGATTGCAGTGTCCAGGCGCGCGCGCGTCGCTACACAGCAACCATGATTGCAGTGTCCATGCGCGGCGCGCCGCGCACCCCGCAACATGATTGCAGTGGTCCAGAGCGCAGCTGCAGCGTGCGCACCACAGAACATGATTGCAGTGTCCAGGCGCGCGCGCGTGCGCACAGCAACATGATTGCAGTGTCCAGGCGCGCGCGCGCGCACAGCAACATGATTGCAGTGTGCAGGCGCGCGCGCGCGCACAGCAACATGATTGCAGTGTCCAGGCGCGCGCGCGCGCACACACACAGCAACATGATTGCAGTGTCCAGGCGCGCGCGCGCACACACAGCAACATGATTGCAGTGTCCAGGCGCGCGCGCGCACACACAGCAACATGATTGCAGTGTGCACGCACACGCACGCGCGCACACAGCAACATGATTGCAGTGTCCAGGCGCGCGCGCGCACGCACGCACGCACGCACAGCAACATGATTGCAGTGTCCAGGCGCGCGCGCGCACAGCAACATGATTGCAGTGTCCAGGCGCGCGCGCGCACAGCAACATGATTGCAGTGTCCAGGCGCGCGCGCGCACAGCAACATGATTGCAGTGTCCAGGCGCGCGCGCGCACACAGCAACATGATTGCAGTGTCCAGGCGCGCGCGCGCACACAGCAACATGATTGCAGTGTCCAGGCGCGCGCGCGCACACGCACAGCAACATGATTGCAGTGTCCAGGCGCACGCGCGCGCGCGCGCGCACGCACGCACAGCAACATGATTGCAGTGTCCAGGCGCGCGCGCGCGCGCGCGCACACACGCACGCACGCACGCACGCACGCGCGCGCGCACAGCAACATGATTGCAGTGTCCAGGCGCGCGCGCGCGCACAGCAACATGATTGCAGTGTCCAGGCGCGCGCGCGCGCACAGCAACATGATTGCAGTGTCCAGGCGCGCGCGCGCGCACACAGCAACATGATTGCAGTGTCCAGGCGCGCGCGCGCGCACGCACGCACGCGCACGCACAGCAACATGATTGCAGTGCACACACACACACACACACACACACACACACACACACACACACACACACACACACACACACACACACACACACACACACACACACACACACACCACACACACACACACACACACACACACACACACACACACACACACACACACACACACACACACACACACACACACACACACACACACACACACACACACACACACACACACCACACACACACACACACACACACACACACACACACACACACACACACACACACACACACACACACACACACACACACAATTATTGTATGAGAGAGGTTCCAGGTTGAATCGAATATTTGTAATGTTCAGAGGTTGTTGTGTTTAATATTCATGAGTATATTTGTCATTGTTCAAATGATAATAAACAAACATATAAAGCATATTTGTCCACTCATATGTTGATAAGAGTATTAAAAACTTGAAAAATATCCCTCTAAGGTACATTTAGAACAGATAAAAAATGTGCGATTAATCGCGATTAACTATGGACAATCATGCGATTAAATATTTTAATCGACTGACAGCCCTAATATATATATATTCTTTTTTCCCAAAATGGTTTCAGTTTCAAAGGCTGATAAAGAGCGTTATTATAACAGCATGGTACGTTGTGGTTCAGATCAAAAATAAAATAAAACTGTAATAATGAACCTTTGAAAAATAAATGAAATGTAGAGAGCGCATGAGTCACAGCGCACGGACGCAGCGGTATAAACAGCAGAAGCTCCGGTAACGGTACGTCCACACGGCAGCGTCGCGCGCTTCAACGGAGACGCCTCCCATTCACTTTGAATGGGGTGACGTCACGCTTTGCCGAACTGCATTGTGGTTCCGTCGCGTCGCTTTGCCTCCGTTGCTCGCTTCAAAGTTGAGAAAAGTTAAACTTTTCAAGCGTCGACGGAAGCGCCAGCCGATCAAATCATATGCCAGTACAAGCTTTAGCCAATCAAACTGCGTGCTTGTGTGTCCGGGGCGGGAGATTAATGTGATTGGTTGTTGGTCGCACGCCAGACATGCCCACCGGCAAGCTTCAACGCAACGCTGCCGTGGGGACGTACCGTAAGGATTCTTATGTGTGTGTGTGAACAAGCAGCGAGGACACACACGGAACATTTAATTCTAGTTTCTATTATTCATGTCTGAATATAACAACCCAATAAATACTACAGAGGAAACAGAAACACTGAAAATATAAGCGTCGGCCAAAATCCCTCCGCATTACGCATCATGAAATTGAAGCTTTATCGTTTTCTGAGGTCAGAATGATTATATATTATAGGTCTATATATGTTGATACAAAGATAGGCTACTACTTAACTGCAGCTGATTTCCTCCGAGTCTGAGAAAGTAACACACGTTCTGGGGATAATTAAGCTCCGTGTTTTGTTATGAAGCCGGCATTCAGGAAGCTGCGCTGTGATGGCGTGGGTATGGAGGAGACTTGTTGCCGTGGTAGTTTGCATGTCACCTTGTGGGACTCGTCCTTTACTCGCTCAGAAAGATCCACACTTTAGATTTCCTGCCCAAACTTAATGACCAGGCCCCGCTCTGAATGAAGTCTGAGGGGGTTTCCGGCTGACGCGTCAATGCACATGCAGTGCACGGAGCGAGCTTCTTTTTTTTTTATATTATCGACTAATGAAAAATGGCTCGATTAAGACTTAATTAGTCGACTAGTGATTAATCGACGTTTTAGCACTAGTTCCTACACATATGCTACTAGGTGTATAACTTAAAATAATTGTTATTATTTATGAACCAATTACTTATAAATAATCTTTCATAGCCAGCTATGGTAGATTTTTGTTATATATACATTTCCAAAGCACTCATTTAACTCAATTTTTCTTTTGAACCGAAATACTGTTTTTATTCACCGACTTCATTTTTAGTTATTTCCATTTTACAAAATCCTTATCCTAATTGACCATCTCTAAAACGTCCTGCTGGTGTTTCACTTGAAATTCTTTTAACTGCTCTATGATATCATCCCTGCAAGGTTTTAATTGTAAGACACCCCGAGCGCCAAAGGTGGTCTCAAATATAATCCTTTTTAGTGCGAATGCTGTTTCCATTCAAATATCAAAATATTCAGCCTTTTCAGCACATGATGGGAAACTTTCAACTTTTTCAAAATATGTTATACTTTTTGAAATATTCAGCTTTTTTAACTCTTTTTTTAACATGGAACTCAATGGGAGGAACCTTCAAATCCTCTTTTACCTACACCTTGCGCCAAATGCTACTCCTTCCACATACTTTCACCTAGACACCAACTTTAAAATGTCTAATCTAATCTATAAAACTTGTTTTTTATATCTTTTACACTTTTTGAGATATCTAACTTAGTTTGGAGCTTGGTAAAGAGGCCTTCTTCAGATTTTAACATTAGTGTGTATTTTAAACCTGCCATAATTCCCAAACCCTACACTCCTGGGACATCATTATATGCTTGAATTGTAGGAAAACCTCTCTAAAGGTTGAAAAATAAAAACATTTCAAGAATACATTTTTAAGAAAATGCCTTTTGAGGACATGAAGTGACAAAAACGTTCAACATGTCTCCATTAAAGCCCATTGTAAATTCTGTGTGTGTGTGTGTGTGTGTGTGTGTGTGTGTGTGTGTGTGTGTGTGCGTGTGTGCGTGTGTGCGTGCGTGTGTGTAGATGCGGCGGACAGACAGGTCTCAGTTGGTTTGGTGTCCTATGCTTACTTTTAATACTTGTAAATAAAACTTTTGGTCCGTAATTTCAATTGCCCATGTAGCGACCAGAAAGGGGGGGGGGGGCAGTCTCTGATTGTGTTACGTTATTATGAGAGTGCTCTCATACTTGTTTGATTCTGAAATTGTATATATAAATATGTGTGTATATGTCCGCTTCTGTAGCCTGTTATTGTCTCATTATACCGCACTGTGAATGAATTAAAAGTAAATATATAAGTGGTCATGAACACATCTGTCCATCAGACAGAGGGCTGCTGTGCCTCCTGTCATCATTAATGGACGTCTCTTTAAAATGACTGCTCAGAGAGGATTTCTCATTTCTCTAACCGCCTGCTGCTTCCACTCCTCTCTCCTCAGTTCCCTTCCTCGACTCCTCCGCTCGCATCTCCTGTGGGCGGGGCTAAGACACGAGGATAGGAGTCGAGGAGGGGAGTCGAGGAGGGGAAATTAGAAGCCTTCGAAGACTGTCTCAGCCTATATAGAGACTTCATACTGACTTCAACATCTTCCACATATTTTATACATTATTGGTGACGTATGGTTTTAGTTCAAACGTTTGCAGTTAAAATATTCTGCTGCTTTTCAAAGCGTTTTTACTTTCTTTTCTCTACTTAATACACATTCATTCACTACTACTTACATTTAATATTTAACTCCTTCAGCCTACTTTCAGCTACAGAAACCATTCAACTATTAACTTATTCAGCTATTTCAGGACATTGAGGCATACATGTTGTTTATACCTTTTTTAAACCTTTTCTTTTAAATATTAAGCTTCTTCACTACTCTTCCAGTTTAACCTTTCACTTTTTCAACAAAGTCATTGCAATGCATTTGAGCTGTAACAATTTTGATTCAAATCATTTCACTTTTCTGCATAGTTAATCGTGGTGTGAAGGATGATAATTTTGATCACTTCCATCCTTGATTATTAATAACATGAGATGTGTTTCTTGAGTTTGAGGCTATAGTGCAAATGTGTGGACTCCATAAGAATAGTTAATGCTAATGGTGATATTGAATATGAATCCACAGCTTTAGTTAGTCTCACAGACACAGGCAGAAACACTGTGTGTACTCACCGTCCTCTCCTATGAACGGCACGTTGTCCTCCGCTTCTTCAACTCTCAAGTTGGCCTCCACCTTCTCCTCCTTCACCAGCATCACCTCTGGCTCCACCAGCTCCACGTCTGGAGACTGCACAACAACACAGGGCTCACTCAGTTCAGGCTAAACTAAGTACATTTATACAAGTACGGTACTTTAGTACAATTTTGAGGTACTTGTACTTTTCTTGAGTATATCCATTTTATGCTACATAATCTGAAGGCTTTAGTTACTTTACATATTGAAATATTAGCTAATACAAAAAATAAATCATCTAATAAATAAACATGTACATATAATAATAGTATAAGATATCCAGCCGCAGTATACAAAGTCATTAAAGTTAGCTCCACCTTTACCAGCTGTGCTGAACACATTAATCATCATAATACAGTCATTTAATATGTGATTTGAAATGGGACATTATGAATAACAAGTACTTGTACTTTAAGGACATAAAGTATATTGTGATTACAATAATGTTTTACTTTAAATCAGATTTGTAATGCAGGTATTTTACTAAAGTAATATGTCTGCTGCAACTATTTCCCTTTATTTCTGTTTGAGCTTGTTTTTAATTGTATTCTCTTTGATTTTTTTTAAAGACTGTTCTTAAATGTCATTAAGATGTTTCTGTTGCACTATATCTTAATTATTTTAATGTTTATTTTTGTAAAGAGCTTTGTGTTGAATGTGCTGGATAAGTAAACTTGCCTCGTCTTGCCTAGATAAATACTTATTCCACCACTGCTCATTTTCTTCTTCATGTTCCCCCGCTGCTTACATACAACTTCAGGTTACATTTTAATGCAGCAGTGCTCAGCATCTGATTTTTAACATTCAGTCGGGTCTATTCACCTTGTGCTCTGCCGGCTCAAGGGAGCTTCCACATTGCCTTATAATGTCTCGGCACTTTACTTTACTTTACATAGCGTCGCCACTTTATCAAACTTTACTGGACAAAGAAACTATATTAAAGGTGGGGTAGGTAAGTTTGAGAAACCGGCTCGAGATACACTTTTTGTTATATTCCATGGAATGCTCTTAACACCCCGATAGCAATGAATACATTAAATGCTTTGACAAAAAATCCATAAAAAAAATGTCATCTGTGGAAGCCGTAGTATTGTAAAAAGCACGACCAATCATTTTAGCCGGCCCGGCTAAAATAACTGGATGGCCTACCTGCCTGTCAGCCTTCCATCTGTGCACAAACTTATCTCGTGCCCTCATTGGTCATGTGCGCGTTCGTGTGTGTTGGAGGAGGGGCTCTGTAAGGAAGTGGCAGATTTTCTCCGGTTGTGTATTTTCAAATTCTAGCGATCTCGAGCCGGTTTCTCAAACTTACCTACCCCACCTTTAAGCTATTGAATGAACTGTTATTAAGTTATAATAGTTTTTTCAGGCGAAAAGCTTGATTTACAGATAGAGAGATAGAAAGAGTTCACTAGTTAGCTAACGTTCGGTAGCTAAATGGCTTACATTTGCTTGCTAAATAGCACAATGACAGGTTCATTGAGGTGATCTTTTTTTTGTGAAGTTCAACACTGTTGACCTTTGTCCCTCCTCCTCACAGGGTGAGTTTATAAACTGTCATTATAAGCGTTAGTGTGCAGTCCGACCACCTGATGTGTTACGGTACTTTTAGTAGCTACAAATGTCCTCATACATTTAGCAGAGGACTGCCATCCTCTGCCAGTCTCTAACAGAGGATGGATGTGGTACTGTAAGACTATAGGCACGTTCACACCGGAGTACTTTTACCTGTACTTTTCCCATTTAGTTCCGATAGTGACTGGAATTTTGCGTTCACACCAAAAAGAGTACTTAGTTCCGAGAACTTTTACCCCCATTTTTAGTGCCTGCTAGAGAGGTGGTACTATCCTGGGGAGAAAAAAGTACCAATTTCGATTGGCTGGGCGAATTGCAAACCACGCCCCGTAAAACTCTGAAAGGTTTTGTGAAGCCGCCATTGTATTTGCTGGCATTAGCATTATTAGCATTAGCCCCGCGCACCAACGGAGAGAGAATAACTTGTGGCAACACAAAAGAAAACATGGGAGCGGTGGAGTGATGAGGAGGTGTTGGTGTTCTGGCGATTTACTCGGAAGGCTTCAGAGTAAATCGGAAGTCCCCAACTCCGGGGACTTCCGGCCGGGAACTTCGGGTGGCAGTATACGCCGTGAAGTGGTTTGCGGCCTGCCAGTAAACCCAAAGCAGAAGAAGTGACGTTAGCGGCTTCATTTGCGTAATCTTCCCTCAGGGAACTTATTCCGGTGTGAACGCGATCTGTACTTTAGTTCCATGGGGGTACTAAGTGCTGGCACTAAGTACGGCTTATCCTATCTCGATTAAAGTTCATTGTTTATAATGCAGCTAATGCTGAACCGGATTCACTAAGACTAAAGTGTTTGAACTGGAAGGGGGAAAGGGGCGGGGCTAAAGAAGGTGAGCTTACCTTCCTCTGGACGCTGTCAGAGTGGACGGGCCTGGTGCTCGGCCGCCCTGCTGCAGCTTTACCCGGCCACAGCGCCACCTCTATCCGCCTCTCAAACACACCTACACAAAAACAAGAACAAGTTGTATTCAAAACAACTGAGAGTACATTTCAATGTTCAGTGTTGTACCTACAGTGGAAGCAACGCTAGCAAAACACAAATCAGTAAATGTACCGGCCGTCATGACACAGTTAGGACCCAAGCATTTTGTGTCTGAGGAAGGTTCACACTTTATAACAGCTGATATTTTTTATGTGGGACTTTTTAAAGAAATGTGTTGCATTTGGTTGAGATTTCAGACACCAACACACTAGGGCTGTACCCGAATATCCGAATATTCGTTCGTTGGAGTACTATTCGGGTTTCAATTTCATTATTCGGATATTCGGTTGTTTGTTTTTTTTTCATTTTTAAATGTATTTATTTTTAATTTATTGAAATCTCAAATATCAACGTAAGACCTTGAAAGCCAAGCCAAATTACACTTAAGACATATACAACTGCAACGAAAGTAACACACACAATGCAATATCCTTTTCAATTTCAAAGAACACAAATTGGGTTATATACATTAACAAATAACTATAAAACAACAATACTGTAGAATAACAAAAAGAATGCCGTGAATAAACCGAAATACACGTGTCGAAGCGGTTCGCTGCCGATTACTACGCACCCCCACCCCCCCGCGTAACGAATATTCGCTGCCGATTACTACCGAATATCCGGAGCCCGAAAAATGGTATTCGGGACAGCCCTACAACACACACTGCTCCCTGCTCATATCCCTCTGTACTCACTGAAAACTGAAGAGCATCTATCTTCTTTTGATAACCGTCATTTCAGCACGTTCTGACCTCAAAATATTAGTTTAGTAATCAGGGTGATATTGAACTTAAATGTAGTTACAACTTCCTAGGAAATACAAATCAGTTTAATCGGTTTGATGATGTATTGAGTTGTAGGTTGAAATACAGATGATCTTTCTCAGCTGATACCAATGTTTGGAAAAACAATTTGGCCAATTCTGGTGTTTTCCTTTTTTTGTTGTTAATTTAACTTTTGTGCAAGGGATACAAATAAATGCTAAAATAATTAGCACTCCCAATGTAAAGTAGGAACCAATGTTTGCTTAAAAGGGTTCCACTAGAAGACCTTGTTTTTCACCACCCGCCCGGATACACACACATAAAACACACACGCTGAGGTACAGTTTGGCTAAGTTAATGTGTTAAGTGTGATTTTTGTATGGTGATGGAAATACGACACACGTAATAATAATGGACAACACTTTGATAAACTCCTGAAGAAATTGCAGAGGGAATGCTGCATGCTGAAAAGCTGACGCTGAACTGCAATGCTGCAGTTAGTTGGGAAATATCCACTGAGTAAGTGTTATGCTGAAATTATTAGCTGATACAAGTGTAAGGGATAAAAACATTGACAAGCTGAATGTGATAGTTGGAATGGAACCCTCAACCTTCAGTTTGAAAGACTAATGCACTACAACAGAGCCACAGTGGTAACCTGGGGAGGCGTGTTGCGCAGTGGATAGAGCCTTGGCGTTGGGATCAGGGGGTCACAGGTTCAAACCCCACTGCAGTCAGCATGTCGTTGTGTCCCTGGGCAAGACACTTCACCCCAAATTGCTCCTGTGGGGATTGCCCACAGTATTGAGTATGTAAGTTGCTTTGGATAAAAGTGTCTAACAAGTAACATGTAATGTAATGTAACTGAGGTTGGGCTGGCTCATTTAAAGGGTACAAGATAACAGTGTGTATGGAGCTTCCTTCAGACAGTATAGGCTGAGACAGTGTGTTAAACTCCAGTCTGTGTGTTTGTGTCTCTGCTGAACTCCTAATCATAACACCTGTGCCCAGAGATCAAAGGTTTCCATGGAGATGATCAGTGAAAGGAGAGCCTTTCAATTGTTCTGAATGAGAAATAAACCTCTTACATTTCTAACTATTGTTGAAAAAGGGTAGCTGCTATCAGTAAAATGTAGATGCATGTTGGAGCCCTGATGAGTGCTTTTTGTGTACTTTCGGTAAAAAAATGCATTCATCATCATAATTATTCTATATATATATATCATTTACACAGTGCCTGTAAACCGGAGAAGAACGCTGGCATTTCTCCTCCTACTTGAAAGACTACGGAGGGATAGGGTCTGCAAAATTAGTTTGTGTGTGTGTGTATATATATATATGCTATATATGCTATATATGCTCTGAACGTTCCACTTCCTGCCTGCCCGACATTACGTTACGGCTGCATCGCGTAAAAAATAGGATTCATCCTAATTTTAGAGGAGCCCTGCGCCTTCTGGGACGCTTCTGAGCCGTAACGTGCCGCATGTGGTGAAATAGCACCCATTGACTAGAGTGGCCGCGATCGCCGTGAGCACCGCGGCGCAGCCGTAACGCGCCCGTAACGCGCCGCAGACGGACCCGGTGGAATCTAGGGGTAAGAGAGATGTTCCTAAATGTTTCATTAAAGATTATGTCCCTGGAGCATAGGGTTTGGGACTTGGCAGTTATGTTAAAATCTGAAGAAGGCCTCTTTACCAAGCTCCAAACTAAGTGTAATATTATAAAAGTAATAAAAAAGTATAAATCTGATTTAAAAGTTGTGTAATATGTCAGAAAGATGTGTAACATTTTGAAGTTGAAAAAGCAGTCAGCATTTGAAGTTGCATGAATATTTTTCAATAAAAATGTTGATGACTTATGGGATATATCTCTAGAATTATGAAAGTTATGAATGTGAAAAGTAATAGCGTGCATGTCCTAATTGAGCTGAACGTTTTGATGCTTGAACAGAGTTTCTGCGATGTGATAAACAAATGGACTCGGTGTTCAACTGGAAACTTTGTATCGTATTTGCATTCAGCTGACAAGTTTAAGTGTGCGTCAATTACATAACATAATTAGGATAGATTTTTGATAGGAGGGTGATCAAAACCAGGATGCAAATTGAAAATATGCTATTATTTGTACATATTTTAATCAATGACTACAAAAAGTCACACTTTGGTAACATTTTTAGTTTTAGCTTCTGTTCTCTAGAAGAATGGTCATTAGTGCGAATGCTGTTTACAGCATTCCACTATAGTTCTTCAAATCTTTAATCTTATTATTATGTCAACCAATACTTTGGCTCGCAATAACTTCAGCATACTTTCAGCTACAGAAACCATTCAAATATCAAACTATTCAGCCTTTTCAGCACATGATGGGAAACTTTCAAGTTTTTCAAAATATTTTATACTTTTTCTAAACAGCTTTCTAAACTCTTTTTTTAACATGGAACTCAATGGGAGGAACCTTCAAATCCTCTTTTAACTACACCGTGCGCCAAATGCTACTCCTTCCACTTTCAGCTAGAGACTTCATTCCAACTTTAAAATGATCACAAGACCTTCAGCTATAAGACTTGTTCTTCAGATTTTTGATATCTTTTACAGTTTTTGACTTATCAACGTTTAAGTTTTGTTACATTTTCAGGCCGTTTTCGATTTCATAATGGTTGTCTATGGGAGGGACTCTTCAGGGCTAGAGTGCGTGACATCATCACTTAGAGTATAGAGGGTCTTAAAAATCTTAGAAAAAAATATTTTAAAACTGAATAGAGTGTAAATATACACTCTATTCAAATAATTACAAAAGATTTCCTTGCTATCATCATATCAAACGGACCCACCAGAGTTCCCGGTCAACATGTCCGTTACAGTTTAAATCTTCCGGACAAAATTAGAAAAGTGCCGGTCAAAGGTCTTCTTTGTTATTTATTGAGCTTTGAAACAAATTGATATGATTCGATATTAAACAAACTAATAATAGTCGATTAATTAACTATTCAAACGTGTACAGTAATTTACAATAACACGGGAATAATAAAAGGAGCGCTCTCCCCCTCTCCTGACAGCCCGCCAGTATCATGCAGCTCGCGGATCCAGTAATGAGTGACCCGACAGTAAAACTAAACATATCTATAACTAGTTTAGGTAGTTTGAGAGGTAATTAAAATAGCTACGTGTGATATTCTAACCTGAAGTGTGTGTTTTGTTCCGCTCACTGCTGCAGGTGATCATGCAGAGATGCGTGTCGACTCGTCGGCAGCAGCTGATCTCTCCCGTCAGATTAGACTTTACTCGCGTTTATTGTCCATATCGATCAGATCTAGCTAATGATATGACTACCTGCTTATTAAAAAGACACCTAAACAATAAGCGTCGCTATGCAACCGGGTGAGGCCACAAAGTATAGCGCAGCATTATGCATTTGTTTACATGCCCACCGGAACCCCGAGGCATTACCAACAGATCAACGCACAATCAACCCATACAGGACATCTCTTTCTCCACATTAAGTGTTAGACATTAGAATTGACTATTCTTGTCTGTCACATACTCTTTTGTCTGTCACATAATATTCTTGTCTGTCACATAAGTGGCGCAACTGATGCGGTATTGCGCTAAGGGGAAATTATTTTTGACCGGACATTTTGACCGGAGAGATTTAGATTTGCCAGTCTTCAGCTTTTTTTTTACCGGTCATAGTCCGGTAATTACCGGCTAACAGGAACTCTGGGACCCACCGTTCTGGCCCAATAGTGATCTGAGTGACAAAAAGTCCACCTAGCTCCCAATAGACTCCCATGTTAAATTTCTCCACATTTTACACACAAAACCTTAAAAAACAACATATATCAGTTCATTGGGGTTCCCTGATGCTCACGGTCTGGTAATTTTTTTATAGGAGCCATAGTTTTTGAACAGGTGGCAAAATTGTCAGATATAATCCTCAATGCATTCTTAACCTGTTACGCACCTTCCGCCCGGTACCGGGCGGATAAACGCGTCATTTGCAGGAAACAACGTCTAAGGAATCTTAATATTGAATAAAACTATGAATGTGTTATATCCATGTAACGGGAAGAAACTCAGCTAACTGATCTTTTTTAAAAAAAAAATTAAAAAAAAACCACAATGCTAGCACTCAGCCTCTGAATTAGCCACAGGCGAAAACATGGAACGTAATGCGGCACTTAAACTCACTCAGAACTCCCTTATTACTTATCCTAGATGCACAACCAACCACTCTTTTTTGGTGTCCTGGAGACACTGAATCTAACGGTGCCCTCCTCAACACTCAGTGATAAACATTCGCGACGCTATAAACGAAAGCGTACATCATAACATGTGGAGCAAAGTAGCTAAAAACGCTAATATGGCTTACCTTGGTCAAAAGTGGTCTTCAATGGCATTAAAACGATAAAAAAACGATGCTGCAGTTAATCCATAGGTTCATCCTATGTGTCTGTGCCTTCTTTGAAATTATTTCTGATAATCCATAAGCAATACAACTGCGTTTTAGTTTCCAAATTCCAGAAGGAGACATTAATCCAATATGCTTTCGATTTCTACACGCGAAGCCCCCACCTTTTGTCTTTACAACGTGTGTGGGTGTGAGCCTCCCCCTTCGATTCTATTGGCTCTAACGGTCACAAGGGTGTGTCAACCAACCAAATCGACCAAGGGAAGCCAGAGATATGAAAAAAAAAACATTTTCACCCAAATCACCTCAGAGGTGGGGTGGTTTTGGCTAAACCTCTCTAAAAAGGTCAAATGTTACTTGTTTTGCATCAATCTTGATACAGGGCACTTATTATATGTTGTACTTTGGATTCCTAAAGCTTTTAGTCTACTAACCCATCATCCAAGGGTAGTTTTCACTATCTGTAAAAAATAATTTTTGGACGGACACTATAATTTACAGTTTTTTACTATGTAAAATCTGAATTTTCTTTAAAATAAAAAACATTTATATTGATTCTGACACTTCTACATCCAACTCACAGGTTTATCATTACTTTGAGAACAAAGATTATTAATTTAACCCTTTTAGAAGGGAAGATATGGTCATTTGTTCTGGGAATGTCATTTTCGAGCCTGAGACCTGAAAAACAGGCTCAGAGTGGAACAGGTTAATGGGACTCAGTGCTGCAGTTGGTTGCCATGGTGTTGCTGTGCAGATTGGGGCCACACACCTGAGTGACATAATTTAATCAGAGCAGACACGCCCACAGACAGACTGGTACACGCACACACAAACACGGGAGGTTTGTATTATTTTTTTTTCAACAAAAGTTAGAAATGCAAGAGGTTTATCTCTCATTCAGAACAATGGAAAGGCTCTCCTTTCACTCTCCGTGGTAACCTTTGATCTCTGGGCTTACACACACACACACACAGGTGTTTGTACTTTGTAAACATTCATTCACAACTACTTACATTTAATATCTAACTCCTTCAGCCTACTTTCAGCTACAGAAACCATTCAACTATTACATTATTCAGCTATTTCAGGACATTGAGGCTATACATGTTGTTTATACCTTTTTTAAACCTTTTCTTTTAAATATTAAGCTTCTTCACTATTTTTCCTACTCTTCCAGTTTAACATTTCACTTTCAAGTTTTCAACAAAGTCATTGCAATGCATTTGAGCTGTAACAATTTGATTCAAATAATTTCACTTTTCTGCATTTCTCCGCTAAGTTCAGCAACACACTTACTTGTAGCTAAAAGCAGCTACAGAGACCATTCAGCTAATAACATATTCAGCTTTTTCTGCATTTTCAGCTAAATTCAGCCACAAATGTTCAGTTTACAGCATTCACACGCATTTTCTGCAGGAAATGCATTTTCTAGTTTGTTCTCAAACATACCTAGAAACAGTAGAGGTCTGATAATATATTATTACAGAGCTGTATATTTTAATCTACTATAAGGATTTTTACACAGTTAACTTAAGTTTAAGTTAACTTAACTATTATTGTATACATTTACTCAGACCCGGCGGCCATTTGACATTCCTGCCCTCCGGTCCCATGTCATGGCCATTTCTACTGATCATAATTCCATTGTTGAGGTATACTAGAATAGATTTATATTGTGAAATTTTCCAAACTCACATTGGTTTCTCATACAGCATCTCTGTATAGTACGTGTATTCACTCTGTCCTAAACGGCTTGTTGGAGCTCCTGCAACCACCACCCCCCCCCCTCCCCCTCCCTGTGAGCCCACTGTGCTCTGATTGGTCAGCTCAAGTACAAACCTTCATAACACACAAGGGGACGGGTAATAACCGGTAATTACCGGAAAAGCATGACATGGGACCTTTAATAAAAGTGTGTGTTTGAATGCAAAGACTGGCATGTTTTAATTGTAATTGCGGACTAATTGTCCTACCGGTGGATGGCGAGAACTCCCGCAGCCTGTCGCCGTGTATCTGCACCCTGGAGCGGCTGCTGTTAATGGCGCTCTCCCGGAGCCTCCTCTCGGCGTTTCCCCGGGCCATCTTCAGCTCCAGCAGGTGGAGCTTCCTCTTCAGGCCTTTGTTTTCCCTCTGACACTGCGACATCTGTAAACTGACCACCGCATAGTCATCGTCCACCAGCTTACAGATCTCCGCCACTGCTGCGTTAGCGAGGACCTCCATGATGGAGGCCAGCTGAGTCTGGAAGGCCAGGCGGGACATCCTGCTGCGGGCCGGGGCTCGAGGGCTGCTCCGAGGCTCTGCACTCACCGGGAAACTCCTGTAGCAGTGTTAGGAGGGGTTGGGGGTTTGGTCAAAGCATAACAGCTCCGGTGGAAGGGTATTTAAATGTTGAACTGGTAAAATAAGCGAAGGTAGCCTCTCCTCCTCTGTACGCAAGCGGCAAGCTGCGACCACAAATACATGACGTCATTTCCGGTTTATTCGGGGTTTTTGTTGTTGTTCTTTTTTCGTTTTGTGCGGCTGGCAACCAGCGTTAAGGTGCATTATCGCCCCCTACTGTACTGGAGTGTGAACCAGAATGATCCATTCCATTCCATTATCAAACATAAATGAATAAGAAATAAATAATGAAGACATTTAGAAATTGTCTTGATTAACTCAGTTTGTGTTGAGCGCACAACCATTGTTTTAAGTACGGATTCCAGATGCACAGTAGCTACAGGGTAGATATTGCAAGTCCAGGCTCCTCTAACAAAGCAACTTATTATATATACAAGACCTAAAACAATAAAACTAAGTTAAAACAAAAACTGTTAAATAGTGCAAGAAGAAACAGAGTAGAATACAATAGTGCAAGATTATCTTGCATGACCAATGTGCAAGTAATGCAGATGAAGTAAACTATATACATGTCAATAAAAAAATACAAATGTTGCAGAGAATGTTGTAAATGCAGGAGTCTATAAACATGTAAATAGAATAAGATAAACAGGATGTTTTAAAGGTCCCATGTCATGCTTTTCCGGTTATTACCCGTCCCCTTGTGTGTTATGAAGGTTTCTATGCATGTAAACGGTCTGCAAAGTCACAAACCCTGAAAGTACACCCTGTAGCGAGTAAAACTCTAACACAGAAAATACCTGTCTATCCTGCCCCAGAACGCCTCGTTGGAGATTTCTCTTTTTCCATTGTTTTCTTCCTGGGTACAGTGACGTGCCCATACCCAAATGGACCGATTGGTCCTAATCCGTGGAGCCGTTACGTTACGTCCGCGGAGCCGTTACGTTAAGTAACACACACACTCAATCTTTTCTCAGCTGCAGCTCCGCTCGGGCTGGTTTCGGGCTGGTTTCGGGCTGGGTTTCGCTGTGTCTCGCAGTCGACCACTGGGCTCATAGGAAGGGGGGGGAGGGGGGGGGGGGGGTGGTTGCAGGAGCTCCAACAAGCCGTTTAGGACAGAGAGTGAATACACGTACTATACAGAGATGCTGTATGAGAAACCAATGTGAGTTTGGAAAATTGCACAATATAAATCTATTTTAGTATACCTCAACAATGGAATTATGATCAGTAGAAATGGCCATGACATGGGACCTTTAAGATGTAAAAATGTTTTAGGTAAATGATTTACAGTTATTATTCATCATCTCTCGATTTATTGGAAATCAAGTAATAAGATGCCAATGTACCACTACCATTACCATAACTCAAGGATGTAGGCCTATTTTCAATTATTCTTACCAGCCCTGTTACAACTAAGTGAGTAAACAGTGCCTTCTTACTCTTACTGCATCTCTTTCAGGTTCCACCTCTGTCCTGCTTCTCATTGAGCTTTCTATTTCCGTTTCATACATGGTGCAATGCAATATATTTCCCACCTTTTACTCCACATTATCCACACTTTTCACTGTTGTTTTTCACAGTACATGTCTAACCTGAATATGAAGTGTGTTCATATCTCCACACTATCAGGTCTTACCTCTTCAACACATAGATATCCAGTTAAGGCTGTCAGTATCCCTGCTGTATACATCGATAACTGGTCTGACACGTTTCTGGAGACAGTTTTGTAGAACGAGGCTTTTGTCTTTGAGGGCGACACCTGACGACTAAAAACAAACACATTTGAAATGTTTCCATTATTTGTGTCTTTATTTTGATAATTTCTAGATCTAAAAGTGACCCAACTGATAGGATGTCATATAACATTTCCAATGTCATTGTTTTTCTTCCTGGCCCTCTTGTTGTGGGTGCAGCTGCTCAGCTGTGAGAAACACTTTCAGTATGAGTAAAGGTTGAAATCACTCAAATTCAAACATCCGTTCTTTGTCAGTCGTAAGCAGTGGCGACTCGTCATTAGGGGCAGGTACAGCCCCACCTAGTGTCAGCAGAAAGTAATGCAAATAATAATTCCCAAAATATGCAAAAAAAAATACATGTTAAAATATATTTTATTTTTTTATAGTTTAGTAATTTGTCCGTCTGTACATTGCTGTTTTAGTCTGCGTTCTTCTAATTAGTGTCTACAGTGTGCCTATTGAGCCGTGTTGAGCGATGTGGGGCAAGCTCCTCTCTCTGCTGTTAAAATGAACGTGTACTACTGTAAAAACTACACTGCGCATGCCAAGAGTATTTTTCTATTCAATGTGTGCGGCAAAAAAATAATCACCATAGGGGCACTGTGCTGCCAAAGAGTGGCGAAGTCCCTCCCCTTCCGGTGGACCTACATGGGACCTTATTTCGGAAAAATTATGTATTGAAGTCAATGGAGAGAGAAAGATTATCTTTCGAAGTCACAGTTTTACGACAAACTGTGACTTTTTTGACATGGAAATGATTTTTTAAGATTGACAAACATCATATGTGTAATTCATGGCACAATTCAAACGGGATCGAAAGATAAGTTTTCTCTCTCCATTGACTTCAATACATTATTTTTCCGAAATAAGGTCCCATGGGGCGGAAGTAGATGGGCGTGACTTCGCCACTCTATACCTTAAAGTGGACCTATCATGCTATATTTGAATAATATAGTGTAGGACCATACCTATATAAGGCATATTTATACTTTTTTTTTTTCAAAATACCAAACAGATCATGCATTTTAGCCATGCCTCATTTTGCTCAATTTGAAAATGTTTAGCTCTGTTTGTGTAAGGGCAGATAAGGGCAGAACAGCACCATCTACTGGCCTGGCATATGTACTACAGCGTCTCCAGCGCTTTCGAACGGCAATGGCCGTGGCTGTCTCCTCCTGATTGGAGTTGGCCCAATAGCCGTAGCGCCACCGTCCTGACGTCAGTAAAGTGTTCAAATCTGGATCAGTTTTTATCAGATCCGTTGCAGCCCCTTTTTTAGAGATTTGGGTATGGAGGAAAATAGAGAGGGTTGTGTTTTCTGACACTTGGTGAGTTCCCTGGAACACCGGGGACACATATTCATGTATAAAAGACGTACAAAAGTGCATTTTGCATGATAGGTCCCCTTTAAGTTATTATACATCCATGTGCCATACCCACCAAACGTCATCTCATAATTCAGAGAGCGGATTGGCTGTAAGTACGTGTGCCGCGAAAAGTTTAGATGTGAAGAGGAGACGAGAGAGAGCAGCTTATAACGATTAAAATCAGTCAAACGAAAATAAAATGAATGAAGTTGACCATCTACTTCAGCTTTGGTAAGTTCATTTTACGTCATATCTTTGTTGATCTTCTGTGTTTTGCCTATAGGCTATTGCTCTGCTGGATCGATTGATACACATCTAAGTTGTTCGTGCCCCACCAGTTTTGTAAATATAAAACGCCACTGGTCGTAAGACAAACAACTATCTTTCTGAAAACATAACAGGTTCCCAAAGAGGTGTTTAGATGCTTAAGGAAATCCTGTTCTTTATATACGAGATCAGACCACAGCAAAGCCAAGTTCATTGCAAACATGTTACATGTTTAATGATACCGATACATTTTAAAACACCAGACCATGTCTTGAAAGAGTACTGAAAGGCAACATATCTGATTGCTGTGCAACCTACAGCTAGTGCCCATTACATACAAACACCTACACATACAAACACGACTCTCTGATATATATATGTTTGACTTTACATCTTTGTACAGGCCTTTGTTCTTTGTTTTTTTTTATAAGAAAAAGGATGATTGACATTAAAAAAGACTGTTACACCTCGGCATCAACCTGTGAAAAGTTGAAAGAGTAGAATTAAAGTTTTGCAGAGCCTGCATCTTTTGGGCTTTGTATCTAATAAATGAAAACGTTTTTATTTCACTGCCCAATTCTATAATCTTCTGGATAACAGTACATGACATTTTCCTTTCTATTCTTACAAAAATCAGAGCAAATAAATATACTGACAATCAATGTGACATAAAAATGAGCATAATCATAGAAAAGAAGGTGCATTTACCATTCAACAACACGCTGCCTGAAGAAGGCCACTCAGAAAGGACAGTGGAGCAATATGAGTCACACAGTGGACTATATGTGATCAAAACATCATGGAAAACAAAGTGTATTAACACTGCCTCTGATTGCTTCAATGAAGAGTTTTGGGAATATATAAAGTGCTTAATTGGAAGAGTCAGATATTTTGCAGATTATACTACTTGTTTCTTAGCAACAGCCAGAAAAAGAAGATGAGGATGTTACAGATGGGTCCAGGGCGGGGTTAGCCTAGCTTAGCACAAAGACTAGAGGCATAGGGAAGCAATACGGAGCTTTTTCTGAGTATCAATTTGAGACTTTGGATTCCTTGTTCAGATTTTGAAAAGCTTTCTGCTTTCTGCCAAAACCAATAAAATACTCCACTTCATGTAAAAATTCTTAATTGAAAAGGCTAATTAAGTAGAAATACAGAAGTATCATCAGTAATATATTTTGTATCAAGTACTTAGGTAGGCTATTTTTTACACTGTTATAGAATATTACTTTTTGATCATTAGCAAATGCATGTCAAATTATTTGACTGTTGTGGTTTGTTCATGTGGAGCCAATTTTGGATACGTTTTAAAATACTGTGTATATTAAAAAATACAGTACTGCATCACATCATGTGTTTTTATGTATACAAGTATATGTATGCAATAAATGAAAATACTCAAGTAAAGTACAAATGTGTACAAATACTACTTCAGTATATTACTTGACTAAATGTACTTTGTAACTGGAACACTGCACTCAGTTCAAACGTTGGCAGCACTCAGACTGAGTGAGAGGAGAGGGCTGGAGCTCCATGTGGGACATCTGCAACAATATATCTGCAAGCATGCTGTTTGAGCAGCAGAGCAAACCTCCTCTGCAGGCAGGGGTTATATGAGGGTGAGTTATATGAGGGTTTTTGGGGAAAGCATTAGAAAATTTGATCAAGAAATTAAAAACTCTCTCTAAGATGAAGGTATGAAAAAGCTCCATGAAGCAGACGTTTTAAAATCAATTCCCAACACCTCCAAAGCTGTCTTATTTGTATGTTGAATCTTATTCACTAACAAGTCACCAATACATCTCAAGCTAGGGCTTATCATAGTAAGTCGGATGTTTGTTCAATGTTATTTTGTGTTGTGTCTTTAGCCGCTTTCACACCAAGTACTTTGCCGTACTTAGTTCCCAGCACTTAGTACCCCCATGGAACTAAGTGCAGATCGCGTTCACACCGGAATAAGTTCCCTGAGGGAAGATTACGCAAATGAAGCCGCTGACGTCACTTCTTCTTCTTCTGCTTTGGGTTTACTGGCAGGCCGCAAACAACTTCACGGTGTATACTGCCACCCGGAGTCCCCGGCCGGAAGTCCCCGGAGTTGGGGACTGGCTTCAGTAGAAGCTGCTGGGACTCCCAGCAGCTTCTACTGAAGCCTTCCGAGTAAATCGCCACAACGCTGACACCTCCTCATCTCTCCACCGCTCCCATGTTTTCTTTTGTGTTGCCATAAGTTATTCTCTCTGCGTTGGTGCGCGGGGCTAATGCTAATAATGCTAATGCCAGCAAATACAATGTCGGCTTCACAAAACTTTTCAGAGTTTTACGGGGCGTGGTTCGCAATTCGCCCAGCCAATAGAAATTGGTACTTTTTTCTCCCCAGGAAAGTGCCACCTCTCTAGCAGGCACTAAAAATGGGGGTAAAAGTTCTCATGAACTAAGTTCTCTTTTTGGTGTGAACGCAACATTCCAGGCACTATCGGAACTAAACGGGAAAAGTACGGGGAAAAGTACTCCGGTGTGAACGCGCCTTTTGTGTGTGTGGCGCACCACAAATTGTCTCTTTGAGGAAAACACAGTTTTCCAAACAAAAACTAAGAAATGCCCTCCGCTGTTATTGTTTAGCTAAATCAAAGTTTCTTCTTTTCACCTACAGTATGTATATGTTGACAACATCAATTCCAACATGCCACTAAGACAGCTTTATAGTTGATAAAATGTATTACGGTTTCCTTTTTGACTGAGCTAGGCTAACTAAACTACCAGGCTCCCCTTTCTTCCAGTCATCTCAGCATCCTTTCATATTGCACTTTGCCGTGTGACACTACATTAAAGTGGACCTATCATGCTATATTTGAATAATATAGTATAGGACCATACCTATATAAGGCATATTTATACTTTTTTTTTTTTCAAAATACCAAACAGATCATGCATTTTAGCCATGCCTCATTTCACTCAATTTGACAATTTCTAGCTCTGTTTTTGCAAGGGCTGATTCTGTGAGAACAGCACCATCTACAGGCCTGGCATATGTACTACAGCGTCTCCAGCGCTTTCGAACGGCAATGGCCGTGGCTGTCTCCTCCTGATTGGTGGAGTTGGCCCAATAGCCGTAGCGCCACCGTCCTGACGTCAGGACAGTGTTCAAATCTGGATCAGTTTGTATCAGATCCGTTGCAGCCCCTTTTTTAGAGATTTGGGTATGGAGGAAAATAGAGAGGGTTGTGTTTTCTGACACTTGGTGAGTTCCCTGGAACACATATTCATGTATAAAAGACGTACAAAAGTGCATTTTGCATGATAGGTCCCCTTTAAGTAAAAACAGCAGTCTTCCAAACAATTCATATTGAATTTTTAACATTTAGAATCACAGTAAAATAAGGCAATAATAGATGTTTTTTTCTAACACCTAATAAGTTTTGAATGTATCTCAGACAATTGAAAAAGTCATCCTCATTAGTTCTATAGAGTTGTCAGGTGCTCAAAGTGTGAAAGCCTGCTGTGTATGTTCATCATCCTCCTGGGTTAGTTTATGTGTGTAAGCTTTGTAGACAAAAACTAAACTTAATGACAAATTGATAGATAAAGTGTTAACAACATTGTATCAGGCACTCTTTCACAGTCTACTCAGTGACCTCTCTCAGTTTGAAACACAGTAAGAGTAAGAAAAAGGTGGAGATCGCTTCGAGGGTAATCCTTCCCTCCGCCTTTAGAACATAATTCACTGCTATGATCTAGGACAAATATCAACTGTACGTGCCATGGTATCACATGATACAGCTTGCTTCTTTGTTTGTGCTTACATAAGATGCTACATTTCCCATGTGAACACAAACTCAGAGCACAAACTGTCTGAGGATCAGTTCCAGATGCCAGCCCCCCCCTCCGGTGGTCTGTCTACAGGCCGCACTGCGACTGCTGCCGGTGTCTGCGGACGCTACACATCTGGCTGAAGGACTGTCCGCAGCGCGAGCAGCAGTAGGGTTTCTCCTGCGTGTGCACGGTGCGGTGCCTCTTCAGGTGGCTGGAGGAGATGAAACTCTTCCCGCACAGCGTACAGCGATAACGCCTCTCCCCGGTGTGGATGAGGAGGTGGACCCGCAGGTTGTTTGGCTGTGCAAAGCCCTTCCCACAGTGGGGGCAGGTGTAGGGCCTCTCTCCAGTGTGCACCCGCTGGTGCTGCTCCAGGGCCGTTGTGCTGGGGAAGAGGCGCCCGCACACAGCACACACCACAGGCTCTTTAGCAGCAGCAGCTACACCGCTCCTGTATGGCCGCCTCGGGCTGGTGGAGGGGGCAGAGGGTGCTGTAGGGGGAGGGGGTGGAGGAGGTGGTGCAGTCACAACAGCGGCAGCTGCTGCTGCCATGTCGAAAGAGGCAGCAAAAGCAGCCATTTCATGAGTACCACTGGTGAAGAGCATGGTGGGAGGGCCATCCAGACTGTCTGCCCCTCCCTGAGAGGGGAAGGAGGCAGAGGGGTGGCCGGTGTCCGTGTTCCCCAAACCCAGCTGTGCAACTGCATACGCTGCACCAAGATGGCTGACCCTCTCCTGCATCCAGGCCAGGTCCAGGCCCAGGCTGTTGAGGCGCTCAGGGCTGGGCTCCTCCGAGGCTCCAGGGGCCTGGAGCTCCTCCTCTGCAGCCTCATCGGTCTGGACCTTCGGCTTCAGAGCTCCATCGGTTAGGCTTCCTCCTGAGTCACTGCAAGCGGCTTCAGGGACTGTGACCCCCCCCACTGCTGACTGTCAAACTGTTGCCCAGAGGAGCGGGGGCTTTACGTTTAGCTCGGGGCCTGTAGGTCAGGTTCATTGTGGCCTCAGTGGGGGGGGAAGAGGGCTGTGAGGTAGAGCAGGGGACGTTGGTGTCAAGAACAGTTTCACTCGGGTCGGGGTCCTCACTGGGCTCCATGGCTGAAGACGGAAAGACAGGTACAGTGAGAGTGGAGTTAAACAAATCAAAGAGAATCATTCAGCAAACATTACTCTGATGGACAAAAACTGAGGAGAAATGAACAGAACACTATGAATTAACTCTAAAATGATAAATAAATCAGATTCAGGGACCAGGGTCTAGGTTAGATCCCACCAAAGATATTCACCTCAGCAAAGGTGTGATAGGGCATCAGGAATGAGGAAGTTCAATTACGGGGGGAGGGGTCTCGCCCTTCTGTCCTGCTGACAGCCAGCCTGACCCAGGGTTCAGTGTTTGACCAGACTGTGGAGAGTGGAACTTGGAGCAGGGTCTGGGGCATAGGTGTCATTTACGATGGGGACATGTCCCCAACCCTTTTTAAAAGTATAACTTGTTATAAATGTTCTGAAAAATAGCGTGCATAAAGAAATGTAATAAACAAGAACACTGGTTTATATTGCACAAGAGAACATGTACACCTTGAGAACAGTTTGTCCTTTAACACTTGGCAGGTGTATTTCTGTATTACTTTAGTGAAATATCTGAGTACTTCTTACACCACTGCTACCATCAGTGTGGAGCTGTGTGCTACAGAAGCCTGAATTTACAAGAAATATTTTACAACTGACGACTACTCTCAAATTTAGAGCAGGCTCCTTTTGTAAATGAGGAAACACATAAATCTATGCTGTAGATATTGTGCATGTGAGGAAATTACATTGCGTTACATTACATGTTACTTGTTAGACGCTTTTATCCAAAGCGACTTACATACTCAATACTGTAGGCAATCCCCGCAAGAGCAATTTGGGGTGAAGTGTCTCAGGGACACAACGACATGCTGACTGCAGTGGGGTTTGAACCTGTGACCCCCTGATCCGAACACCAACGCACAGCCCACTGCACCACACGCCTACCCAATGACGAAAGGTATTCTGTCCTTCTACAGCGTCTCTGAAAGCATGACTCCTCCTCAGAGTGCAGACCACGTTAAACTCAGCCGCTACGTGCTGGACTTTGGCTTGATTATGGATCCACTGCTGAGTTGTGTAAACTCACATAGCCTGAAGTCATTGGAGGAACTCTTCTACTTCTTAAACTCATTGTGTGTCCATCATTGTTGCTGAGAGCTGATTGTTCATGTCTTCACTGCACAGAGATCAGCTGTCAATCAAACATGATGGGATGTGCTTTAACATCTTCTCATGAGTTGTTCTGTAGATGTTGGACTTTCTTCCGGCTCCTTCCTGTGTCTGTTTAGCCATGGAGGCTGTCACTGCTCAGGAGGATTCTTGTTCACCTGAACTGACATTTTCTCTGCTTGAAAATGTAAACTTTGCTCTAAATATTTGTTGAATATTTGTATTGATGCATTTATATTTTGTTATCTCTCTTTTAATGCATAGGTCTTAAGAGAAAAAGCACCCGAGCTTCTTTTATCAAAGATATATTATTCTCACTACATTTTTGTTGTTTGTTTAAATGTTATTGTTGTTGCCTAAATCATCTAACAAATTAGATACTCTGATTTTTATTAAATGTATTTTATCATAAAATATCAATTTCAAATTATATTAATTACCATTATGATCATAGTCAATAAGTAAATAATTCATTATTTGATGTTAAATAGCTCACAGTCTGGTCTGAAAAATGTATTGTGTGGGAAAAAGACTACCTATATTATTGCATTTATTATCTTTGCACTCTAACTGTTGCTGTTGCCTAATCACTATGATGTTTTGTAAAACTGTAGTTATGATAATTATCAATAAGCAAATCATTTATTATTCGGTTTTACAAAGCTGAGATTCTGGTTTAACAAATTGATTGTGTGGATGAAGTGAATCTGATCATGAAATCATTGAACGGACTTTACTGATGGGATGTGTGATCAAATGAAATGTGTAAAAATTAACTGTGAAATTTGTAGGAGAATATATCGGAGGGAGGTTTTTTCCTGAAACAACACAAACAGTGTTCATGTTTATTTGTCAGTCAGTCTCTGTCTCTTCAACTTTCACTAAAACATCTCTGTCACAGAGAAATGAACAGAGTTGTCTATCACTTGTTGCTCTTTACACACAAAATGTTGTTTGTGCATGAGGATAGATCACAGAGGCTTTAAAACTGTAAAAATAGTCTGAATTAATTTGTTCAAGTTTGGTAGTGAAGACATTTTGATGAATCAGATGAGAAAAAATATATTAAGTAGCCCTGAGGCCTATACTACGAAGCGGGTTCAACTTAACCTGGATATGTTGGAGTTAGCCGGTTGGCCTAAGCCAAAACATACGCGCTGGCGCTAAACTGTACTACGACGCTGGTTATCAAGTGGATCGCTCAAGCCAGCAGTGTCCTATCTAGTTAGGTGCGCGTTCACATGAAAGGGGTGGTATTTGGAGCATTCGACCAATCTCAAACACGGACAACCGTACTGACAGCGCAGCGTCATACTTCCTGAATGAAAAGTGAACTTTAATATTAGTCAAATATGAAGAAGTTAAACTTTAAACATCCATGTCTTAAACACTTTATCCAGGATAAAAGCCACATAGCTGCACCTGCAAGGTGAATACAGCTGGTAACAGAAAAAGTGTTTGAATGCGTACATTAACAGGTTTATGAAATCACTGCCCCGTCCAAGACACGAGTGGATCTGACTTTAATTAGGAGAATTTGACTCGAGTGTTTCGTCAATTTAATGTGTTGCTTAAAATAATACTTCTGCATACAGTATGTGTCACTGTGAGTGTTGCACGGCCAGATACGGCTCAAGAAGCTGACTCAGATAAGGAAATATATGATACATTCAGTGGCGACTGGTCATTAGGGGCAGGTGGGGCACAGCCCCACCTAGTGTCAGCAGAAAGTATTACAAATAATGATTACAAAAATGCAAAAAAAAAAATAAAAAAATATATAAAATATATTTTAAGATCATGTTTAATCATCTGATTCGTCTGTACATTGCTGTTTTAGTCTGTGTTCTTCTAATTAGTGTGTCTACAGTCACAGTGTGTGCCTATTGAGCTGTTTAGAGCCATGTGGGACAAAACCTGATTATGCCCCTTCCTCTCGCTGTGAAGTCAACGGTGACTGTAAAAACTACACTGCGCATGCTCAGAGTATTTTGTAATGAAATGTGTGTGGCAAAAAAATAATGACCAGAGGGGCATGGAGCTACCATCCCCACCATACGTCATCTCAAATCATTCAGAGCTGATTGGCTGTAAGTACGTGTGCCGCGAAAAGTGTGCTGTGTGAAGAGGAGACGAGAGAGCTGCAGTGGCGCGTCCTAAAACCAGGAAGTAAGCACAAAAAAGCAATGAGATTTCTCCAGAGGATTTTAGAAAATAGCTCGAAATAAGATCTGTGGGAAACGTACCTGTTAGATAAATGCACGTTTTGATTAGCCGGATAACATCCACATGTCTACCCTACTTATATAATTTTTTTATCATAAATCTATGGATTAGATTTATGATAGACTTTTGAAACTACAAGAACATAAGGAGGACTTTTACAAAAAAGTAATAGAAATGTTTGTCCAGAAGGATAGGCAAATGGACTTCATCTTCAAGTCAAGGTAAGACCGCAATTTTATTGAAAATGGGATCTTACTAAGAGAGAACAATTCAATATTTAAATGATAAAATGACATTTTTTGGGTATCCTTTTGTTGAACTGTCTGTTTAAAATTAATCGAAGCATCAGACAAAAAAAGCTTTTGAAAATAATATTATATTTTGGTTTAGGTCAAAATATAATATTTGTAAACCTGAAGAGTCAGTGCCAGTGCCTCACCAGCCATGAACCTCACTGCACGTCACTGCAGAAGCTTATATATAGACATCTAAGTTTTTTGTGCCCCACCACTTTTGTACATATAAAAACGCCACTGGATACATTATGATGTGATATGATATGAATGATAATGGGACACATCTACGTCTGCACTCACAGTGCCGCGGACTGTACTTAATGTTACTCTGATCCGGTTACTTATGTCGTGGCAGATATTTAAGTAAGCTTTCTTAACGCTAATATTATAATAGTCAGATTGCTCTGAAGATGGGAGGTGATATTGTATTAATTTTGACGTTCACACAGTCAGTTGATTTTGGCCGGCCGTCTTTCCTGCAACGGCAGTTTTTCTGTATTTCCTCTATCCTGTAATATGAATTGATCGCTTTAAACTCCGCACACGGAGCTCTGATTGGTCAGCAGGCGGTGCTTTCACTGAGTTGATCTCTTAGCCTGCTACCTAACCAGGGGGCTATACTACGAATCAAGATTTTCGTTTAGCAAGCTAACTTCAGGGGTTTCCGGTCCTACGAAGCTGGTTCACTTTTTAGCAGGCTAGATAACTTATTCTGAACGGCAAGCCTCCGGAGCAGGATAGGTTCCAGAATAAAAGCACTGCCTGCTGACCAATCAGAGCTCAGTGTGCGGAGTTTAAAGCGATCAATTCATATGACAGGAGGAGAAAGGAAATACAGTTTAAACTGCCGTTGCAGGAAAGACAGTCGGCCAAAATCACCGACTGTGTGAACGTGAAAATGAATAGAATATCACCTCCCATCTTCAGAGCAATCTGACTATTATAACATTAGCGTTAAGAAAGCTTACTTAAATATCTGCCACAACATAAGTAACCTACAGTCCGCGGCACTGTGAGTGCAGACGTACCCCATTATCATTCATATCACATGATATCACATCATAATGTATCATATATTTCCTTATCTGAGTCAGCTGTATCTGGCGTGCAACACTCACAGTGTCACATACTGTATGCAGAAGTATTATTTTAAGCAACACATTAAGTTGACGAAACACTCGAGTCAAATGTAATTAAAGTCAGATCCACTCGTGTCTTGGACGGGGCAGCAGTGATATCATAAAACTGTTAATGAACGTATTCAAACACTTTTTCTTTTACCAGCAGTATTCACCTTGCAGGTGCAGCTATGTGGCTTTTATCCTGGATAAAGTGTTTAAGTCATGGATGTTTAAAGTTTAACGTCTTCATATTTGTCTAATATTAGTTGACTTTTCAGTCAGGAAATATATGACGCGCTGCGCTGTCAGTACACGGCTTGTCCATGTTTGTGATTGGTCGAATGCTCCAAATACCACCCCTTTTATGTGAACGCGCACCTAACTAGATAGGACACGGCTGGCTTGCGGTCGAGGTGATAGCCAGCGTCGTAGGACCGTTTAGCGAGAGCGTTTTTTTTTTTTGGATTTAGTCAGCCGGATAACTCAAAACATATCCAGGATATGTTGAACTAGATTCGTAGTATACCCCCCTGCTCCGGAGCAGGTTTGCCGCTCAGCATAAGTTACCATGGAAATCTAGCCTGCTAAAAAGAGAACCAGCGTCGTAGGACCGGAAAGCCCGAGATTTCCCTGAATTTAGCCGGCTAAGCGAAAATCCAGCTTCGTAGTACAGGCCTCTGGTCTTAAGGTTATTGTATTAATTTTCATGTTGATTTTTGTGAATATTAAAGTTCAGAATAAGGCGGTCATGCTGGGTCAGTGTGTACGTCACCACTAGGGACAGGTTGTTGATACAGGAAGTAGTGATATACTGGATTTTCAATGTGTGTGTGTGTCTATATTTTGTGTGGGGACAAACCTGGAGTTCATTCATAAAAGCTGTTTATTGATAAGCGTAATTTATGCCCAAACACTTAAAAGAAATGTATTCAATGAGAACAAGAGAACATGATTAATCTCGTGAGAACAGTTGGTCTATTCACACTTGGTGGGAATATTTCTGGGGACCCAAGTGGTGCAATGTGACACAGTTAGTATTAGTAAACTTTGAATAGAAAATAGACACGCAAACATAGCTCCCGCTTTGCAGCAGCTGGGCACAAGCAGGGCACTGTTTTACATTCCCTCTCTGTGAACATGACAACTAGCCAAGCTGTCGAGTTGGGTTGGAGACTTTGAAGAGAGAAGCCAAGTCTTCCGGCGTTTTTAAGGTACTTCTAAGAAATAACAGGTCTTCATCGAGAGCATGACCCAAACTTATTTTATTTTATTTTAACATTAAATGCCCTGGTGCACTTTGAAGCAGAAATACGTATGTCCAACTTCATGCTCTTTTCACAATTGAAACATAAACGCATTGGTTGGTGGAAGAGTAGGGGTAACCTCCATGTAGACACAAACAACGATTCATAAACCATGGCCAAATTGAACACATTAAGGCACATAGAAGCATTGGATATTCACCAGGGCGGTGTTTACTGTGATATTTGATGTGTGAAAATCTCTTCAGCTTTATTTCAGGCATCTAACCAAAAACACATTCAAGTGTATGTTCACTTTGAGAAGAGGGAACTGGAAGTGTTAAAATGCTGCTCCAGTCTGTGTGGGGGAAGTTCATCAGTTGTTGTGGCAACGTCCCTTGTGTGTGTGCTAAAGGTACTGTTCAGGTTAGAGATAATATTCATATTCTGCGTCATGGGTCCGGGGCCCCCAAAGAAGGTAGATTAAGAAGGTCCACAGCAACGACAACATGAAACACCCTTTAATTTACTGCAACGACATGTCGGGAAACCCCCTCAAGGCGGCCCCATGCATAGTGCGCCGTAAAATGCTGCTTCTTATTTTAAGTTTTGTTGCCTTGCTCCGCTCTGGCGGGGGGGGAAGAGTGTGTTGGGGCGCCACTGATGGTGATGAAAGCTGGTTCGAGGGGCCCCCAGTGAATCTTTGCCTAGGGCCCCCACAGACTCTACCACTGTTCTGCGCTGTTTAATACAGAGAAACATTGAAACATTCAGAACAATGGAAGGTGATTGAATCATGTGCAGAGCCACACTCACCCTCCGCCCTGATGTTGACCTCCACCTTGAGGTCCAGGTTGCAGTCGTCTCCTTCCACTTCCTCCTGCTTCACCAGGGGCAACACCTTGGTCTCCTCCTGCTGGTGCACAATGAAAAGTAGTTGGAACATCATATAGACATGTTAGCATTTTATGAGGTTAATTTACCATTTTGTTAGGCCACAGGAGGACATTTGTGATGAAAGCTAAGCTAACCATGCTAGGGTCTGAGGCTTTTCTAGCCTGCTCCTGGGTAAAAAAAAACGCAATCCAGGTTTACACAGTGTCAATATAGCAACAACTCTGCACAGAGAGCTGTTCCTGTCAACAGTATTTTGGTTGATTTTACCCCACTGATGATCCGACTCCCCACCCACTTTAAGCTTTACAATTGCTCCTCAGAAACCTATAGGTACATCCATGTTTTATACGGTCTAGCTTGGGACAGCAGTTTGTTTTGCCAAGATGGGATAACTGGCCTTGAATTTCTCACAAGACTAAATAGGAACCTTCTGCTTATGAATCCTTACCTTTGAAATGTGATGGAAGGGTTTGTCTTCAGAGGACGCAGGAAGAGGCGGCACCACAGGAGGATGGTCCTCAGCTCCTGAGAACAGCAGCAGAACATGGAGCGTGTGTTGTTGGCATGTTTCCTGCCTACTGGAATTGTTGTCTGTGTCATCATTTAGTATAAATGTGACATATTGTATGCTCCAGTCATTACAATCGGATTTGCAATCTGTGGTTAGGAAGATGTAGTGATTCAGTAATATTATAAAGATGTCATACTAGCATACAACCAAGCATCAGTTTCAAGCAGGAGTGCACCATAACTGCTCATTGCTGCAAAGCTTTTTACTTCTTATGTTGATGCACAAACATCTGGGCATGTGATTGCTGCATTACAAAAATATGTGAACCTATCCTTGAAGGTGTGTCCTGCTTAGTTGCCAGATGTTGAACCTCTGTCCTAAACCTTATTAAAATCCAGCTTTAAGTTATGAAATTCACTGTTTTAGTTTGTGAAAAACTAAAACAGTTTTTCACAAAAACGGCCAATTACTGTTTACTCATATTACCCGAGACAAACTGAGGATAGGTACTCCAGGAGAACCAACTGGACACTTTGAACAGAGAGGAAGGAGCAGTCTTAAAGAGTTCTCCAAATGACACTAACACTATATCCATGACTGTAGTATAACTGTCATGAAGATCAGCCTGCACATGGTGCATTCAGGTGTGGTATGATATGAGTCTGCATGATGCTGAGGTCCACAGTAGTGCAGGAGTGTGTGAACGCATCAGCTGATGATAGGCATGTTTCTGTGTGACAGGTCTCTCATGACTTCACATGCAGAGGCTAGCCTTCTCCATCTATTTACCTTCGGGTGGCCTAAAATGAACGGCGTGCATCTCCTCCCTCTGACTCCGTCTCCTCATCTTCCTCTCATAGCTCCTCATCTTCACGTCTATCTCCTGCAGTTTCCGCCGCAGCGCGTCGTTCTCCTTCTCGCTCCTCTCGCGCTCCTGGTACATCTGTGAGCGCAGCGCCGCGTAGCCATCGTCCACCAGTTTGCAGATCTCCACCACTGCTGAGTTGGCCAGGATCTCTATTATGGAGGCGATCTGCGCCTGGAAGCCGACACAGTCCGCCATCATCGCGAGCTCCGCGCGGACAGTCGCGCGCGGCTGGCAGCTGCTGTGGTGCACGGGCGTCAACAGATGCACGCGCTCGTCGCGCTGGTGTATGATATAATATTAGTTCTGAGTGTTTCTGTCTGCCTGCTGTTATGTTGAATGTTATGGCTCTGGAGGTGCGAGAGTCGCCCCCTGATGACGTCAGTTTGTTGTTCAGCATCACTTCACAGACAGCTGTGTCATTCTTTTCGGTGGATAAAAGGTTTACAAAATCTAATTTTACATTATTATCAATGATACAGTCTTTTTTATAAATCCCACACTGACACTTTCGGTCCCTGTGTACTGGATAATTAATGCTGTGGCAAAAATACCTGTTGTCTATGGTTATCCTGGACAATATTATCGGTCATTTTGAACTTTTACTGTTACTGATACATTTAATTTATTATACTAAAATAGATTTGAAGTTATTTAAATGCAGTTTTTGAAACATTCAAATATGAAAGGTCCCCTATTATACTCTTTTTCAACAATACATGGGGAGAGATACCTTGGTTGGTTATTGGCTGGTTGGCAACAATGTTTTTTGGGGTGGCCAATCTTATCAGCACATTTTCACAGGTTTTTCTTTTGTTTTTTTGTTAGCAACCAGAAAATGACACCAGTAATGACAAACAGATGAGCATGCTGCGTGGGGTCTGGGTGCCGTGTTGGTGGCGGGACGTTGCGGGGCTCGCTGCTCCGTCCTGTGGGGCTCGAGGAGCGGATAGTGTGAACTGGGTTACTGGTGTCGTTTCCTGGTTGCTGCGTGGGGTCTGCGAGACAGCCGCGGAACTCAGCCTGAGCACACACATAAACTCACAGCCAGGCTGTTCGCCACACAGTTCGCCACACACCCACAGCCTGAGAAAAGATAAGGCTGAGTCACAAGTGTTTCTCCGCGATCACAACTCGTCTATTACCAACGTTCAGGGAGCTCTATGCAAGTCAATGGGACTCCCTGATAGTTGAAAATCAACGCTGAAGGTCCCCCCACTGCGTTTTATAGTGACGCCAAGGGATCCTGGTGTGTGAGGAGCTCCACGGATTGGTCCATTTGGGCATGGTTACATCACCATACTCAGGAAGAAAGAAATGGAAAAAGAGAAATCTCCAACGAGGCGTTCTGGGGCAGCATAGACAGGTATTTTCTGTGTTAGAGTTGTACTCGCTACAGGGTGTACTTTGAGGGTTTACATGCATAAAAAGCTACATAACACACAAGGGGACGGTTAATAACCGGAAAAGCATGTCATGGGACCTTTAAGACATTATAACCAAGTATTTGAAAATATTTTGTATACAGTTTTACTTTTTGTGTATTTGTTTCCTTTGTTGTATTACCCTTATGATTTTTAAACATTGGTCATTAAATGATCAATGTTTAACACAGACACATTTTGTCTGTGTTCCAAACATTTCCAATAACTACCGTAGCAATCCAAATGTATTGAAAATAGATTATTGTAATCATTTCCAAAATATAAATGTTTTAATCGAATAAAAGAATGTGCTTCAGTCCATACTGAAGGAGTTTAGCCTTTTAAAAAACTAAATGTTACTGCACTCCCAAAAAGTTTTTTCTGCTACTTTCTGACCAGAAAGAGAGACACACACCAAAGAGTTAAAGTCATTAACGAAAATTGATTTAATAAAAAAAGATTTCTGTTTTTTTATTTCTGTTGTGAGTTGCATATGCACAGCACTAATCAGGCACGGGAACAGCTAATAAATACATAAACTGTTGGGATCATGTAAAGTGGACTGGGAAAGTATACCTCTGACCTACTTGACCAACATGGCAAGAGAAACAAAATAATTACCCAGGAACCCCTGCAGTCATGTATGGTTTCTCAGCAACTGCTTTAACAAACCCTTCAAATCCCTGACCATTGGCCACTAAACTCCTTCTACTGCAGGACATGAAACCCCATTAATTAAAAACTAATAAAGCAGTACATTTCATCCTCCTCTTTAAACGTGTAATGCTCCTCTGTAACGTCTTTGCTATGGCTGCTGTTGACTTCCAGCAATTCCTGCACGTAGGTAATACAGGAAGAACATCTTTCAGTGGCTTCAGAAATCTGTTTAACTCATGAAGCTTGTTTTGCCTGGAAGCAAAGATATAAGGGAATATAAGTGAATGTTGTATCCCTACTTGTAACCCTACTAGCTGCAACACAAAGTGCACCGATCAAGACGACATTGTGTCTGAGTTTATTTAAAGGACTCTATTATGCTCATTTTCAGGTTCATAATAGTATGTAGTGTCTCTACTGTGAGATGTTTACATGCTTTAATGTTCAAAAAGCTCTTTATTTTTCTCATACTGCCTGTGCTGCAGAACCTCTTTTCATCCTCTGTCTGAAACCAGAGCCCAGTCTGCTCTGATTGGTTAGCTGGTTGGCTCTGTTGTGATGGTCAACTGCTTAGAGATGTCCCGCCTCTTAGACTAACACGTTCAATGTTTACGGAAGTAAACAAAGGACTACTGAAGTTACCTACTGTAACTCCAGCTTCTATGAGTATAGGCGTAGCCCTCTAAGGCTATCGCTATTGGGTAATCCCCTGCGCACCCGCGCAGCACTGAAAACACTTGTAGTCCACGCCCACCTGCGAGGTGGGCCCCACCCTCGGGCTCCCTTCCGGTATAAATAGGAAGGAGGCCCGACAATCTGCTCCCACACAAACAGCTTTTCTTCAGCTATTCATGGAGCCAGTGGGGCCCAGAACCTAGAGGGCTACGCCTATACTCATAGAAGCTGGAGTTACAGTAGGTAACTTCAGTTCTATTTCGTATATGGCTTCGCCCTCTAAGGCTATCGCTATTGGGTTAAGGGCGAAGCAAGATGTAGGCCCAATCCCAAACCACTCCCTCGACCCTACCCCTCCGTGACGGAGTGAACTCCGTCTGTAGCCACACTCGCAGCTGAAAGAAGTTCCCTCCATTAAGGGTTAAGGGTATAAATACAGCGCACCGCATTGGGACGACCTCCCCTCTCTCCGGCAGAAACAGGAAATGCCGCAACTGTATGTAACAACGGTTTCAAATCAGCATCTCTTAGACCAAACATTTAAATTAAGAACTCAAATAAAACTCCAAACATCTTTAATTGTGTTACTTTTTCTGTAAAGCTCTATTAGTTTTAAACCTGATTTTTATAAGCTTCTTAGTTTTTGCAACAATCTGTAAATATACACAACTTTATAATAAAATGCGACCTTTTTCTAGACTAAACACAGGTATGATCCTAAGTTAAAAAAATATGAGGTTATCATGAGGTTATTAACATCGCAGTTTATCAGTGGATGTTTGCTGGAACTGTTTGTAAACAGCGTGTTTCCTGACGGACACACACAGCGTGACTCCGGTCAGGTAGAGACCGGTCTCCAGTCAGCACCGATGCAGACTCGCTGTTTGAGGGCTTGATAGCCCACTCCCCCTCCACACCGCCCCACACTCGTTGGTTTGGAACAGCACTTAATGTGGCGGACCCTCCGCACAAATGCGCAAACGGAGGGGTAGGGTGTAGGGGGCGGTTTGGGATTGGGCCGTAGTCTGCGCCCCACTGGGTCCGCCCGGTACTAGAAGCACAGACACACCTGCTCAGATAATAACCCATGCCTATTGCGCCATGCGAATGGTGCATCACAGTCCCTGGAATATAGCATAACATGAATATTCTCCATGAGGGGACGAAGGCCGGGAACAATACAACCCTGCCGCTGTGAAAAAGTAGAGACGAAGGTCACACTTTGTCCAGCGATAAAAGAAGGGGAAAAAAGCAGCTCTCTGTGTGTAGACAGGCAGGAGAGCGCACAGCTGGATCCCTGACGTCACTCACTCTGACAAGACACTCTGTACAAAATGTGTCAGAGGGGGAAAAGGGAACATCCCTCCCATAAGAGGGAAAAAGGGCCACTCTGCGTGGCGATAGGCAGGAGAGAGGCACACAGCTGGATCCCTGACGTCACTCACTCTGACAAGACACTCAGTAGCCTACAGAGTGTGTCAGAGAGGAATGGGACACATCCCTCAATAAAAAATGAATAAACGAACAGGGGGAAGACCAAGATGCCGCAGTGCAAATGTCTTTCCACTGACATTCCTCCGTGCAAGGCCGTAGAGAATGAAATTCCTCTGGTGGAGTGCGCTCTGATGTTCTCCGGGGGATCCCTCCCCGAGGAGACATATGCCTGTGCTGTGACACAGCCTCACACAGCCAGTGTGACAGGTGTTGTGCAGACAGTGAGTGCTCTCTGTAATGCACAAACAGGCGCTGGGAACGGCGCAAACAGCCGTGCGCGTAACATAGCAAGCTAGCACGCGCACGGGGCAGAGGAGAAGCATACGCTGTAGGCATGGACACCAGGACGCTCCCGTGCGCTCCGGGGCTATCAGGACCGCTGATAGCCGCTTCTCCCGCACTCGGTCTGGGAACCGAGGGGTCAGCGGAGCTGGTGGGAAAACGTATAACAGCACCCTGGGCCACGGCCAATGTGCGAGCGCGTCTACCCCCAGAGGGGGGTGATCCTGCGCTCTGCGAGCCCTTCGGTTCAATTCGCCGGGAATATATATTGCTCTGATGGAGAGCAAGTGTGTGCCTGCTCGCCCAGAACAGCAGCCGCCTGGCTGCGTTCAGAAGCTGCGCAGATCGTACTCCTCCCTGGCAATTGAGGTAGGCTGCCGTGGCCCTGTTGCCCATGATGTGCTGTAGTGGTCGTCATGGTGACGAGCCACGCCATCGCCCTCGCCGCCGCTGCCCGTGAGGCGAAAGGGCTGCGAGGCAGCCTCCACATGCTGCATTTCACTCCGGCTCTCATCATGAGGCGCGTACACGCTCAGGGGTGGAGGTGTGTGCAGTGCTGTCCACACGAGGCGTTATAACGGCGCTCGTGGGTTTATGACCGTGTGTAGGAGGCATATCTGGGACAGAGGAATGCCGCGAGCTCTGCAGTTTATTAACCGATAGATT